GGGCAGAGAATAGACTGGGATCGACTCTTGAAGCGGTTGGAGGAAGATGGATCAAAGAATTTGGGGTTTCGAAGAACGGGATCCTGAATCTACCCCAACTGCTGTCAAAAAAGGAGAGGTCCGCCGATTTCAGTTTTTGCACTGCGACATGTTCACGTTCGTTTTTCGGCACTTATTTCTCGTTTGCGTTTTTGGCAAAGACGGAATGGAATGCGATGAATTTTTAATTTTTTTACCAAGACGTGGAAAGAAGGTTCTTCTTCAAAGAAGAAGAAATGATCTATCACGCCCATTTTCGTTACGGGAAATTTCCAACCCAAAATTTTGGGTTCGAAGAGAAACTGCCGATTTCCTTATAATAAATAAGGGTTCACTCATTGCAAAGCAATGATGCTCCCTTTATTTAGATAAAAGGAAAAATTTTGTCTTGGACAAAATTAGGCAGTTTCCTGAAATTTTTTCCCTGACGTGAATGTTGACTTCTTCACTTCTAAACAGTGAATGAAGGAACCCTGAACCAAAACGATCAGTTATTTGGCTGGACGTTTTATACCTGTTTCTTTTAAGTTGAAAGAAACTTGATTTGTCATATTCAGGAAATTTAACCTGGTAATTTTGGAATCTGACAATGCGGTTTTTGTGAAACAAAATGGATCGTCATTGTCCTCACATGTTTTCTTTTAACATGTGATAATATCTTCGGCCGTGCTCGCCTCAAGACAGGGAGGGTGTGGAGGGAGAAGCTTGCATTTTTGAATGCAGGTTGTACCCACCCAAAACCTGGGGTTTTTCCCCCCCTTTTTTCTGGCATAATTCTCACAGAACTCTGTGCTTTTATGCAATTTATGTACGAGGCCTAACCCTCCCGTTTTTCGAAGAACGGGATCCTGAATCTACCCCAACTGCTGTCAAAAAAGGAGAGGTCCGCCGATTTCAGTTTTTGCACTGCGACATGTTCACGTTCGTTTTTCGGCACTTATTTCTCGTTTGCGTTTTTGGCAAAGACGGAATGGAATGCGATGACTTTTTAATTTTTTACCAAGACGTGGAAAGAAGGTTCTTCTTCAAAGAAGAAGAAATGATCTATCACGCCCATTTTCGTTACGGGAAATTTCCAACCCAAAATTTTGGGTTCGAAGAGAAACTGCCGATTTCCTTATAATAAATAAGAACCTTTGATTGAAAAATAACATCACCAAATTGCACATGAGCAAGACGTGTTGATTGGATTGACAATGGCATCCCTTGAGCATCTACGTAAGATGTGCTGGGTGTCGGGCATTCTGTTCCTGCTTGACCAAATCTCAAAGGCAACGCTGATGTGTCAGCTCCACAGTCCAGAATGACATCACATGTGAATCCACCATCCTTGTCAACACTTGAAACCGCTCTGACATGCTGCATGCAATAAGGGCTGTACGTCCAAGCATCGTCCGAATCAGTCACTGACATATCAAATGCATCACACTGTTTCAAGATGCGCACCTTTCCAGGATTTGTGGGTGACATGGGACATGAATGAATGGTGAGGTCTTCAACAACATGTGGACCAACATGTGCACACTGCATTGACACCAAACGCACTGCTTGAGATTCCGACCAAGTACTGAAGCCTGCAGTTTGTGGACTGAGTGTCTTGCCTGGTGTCCACATTGTCTCCAGCACGAACAACTCGAACTTGCTGCTGCTGCTGCTGCATATCTGATTGCCCTTTCCTGCAGCCACGTTGCCAATGTCCCTGTTTGCCGCAGTATGCACAAACGTTAGCATCAAATTTTTTCTTCTTCTGCTGCTGCCCGCCATTGAAACCATGATTGGTGTAACCCTTCTGTTGTCCCTTAGGTGCAGACTGACCTTTACCTTTTCCCTTGTCGGCACTCTTGCCCTTACCCTTGCCCTTGTCATTGAAACCTTTCTGCTTTCCTTTGCCTTTGTCTCCACCTTTGCCTTTTTTGCCCTTGCCTTTTGAAAAAACATTCACCTCCATTGCAACTGGACCTGCATCTGCAGAAGCGTACGATGTAACACTGCCCAAAGCTGTCGCACCACACTCCTGCAGCACACGGTCTCGTGACCAAGATGTGGATACCTTCTCATATGCAAGGATCTTCTCTTTGACATCACAAAAAATTGATGTCTCTGTCATGCTCAACTGCACGTGCTGCCTCAATTGAGCTGGCAGCACCTTGGCCAAAGTGGTCAATAAAACATCTTCTGGAACTTCTTTGCCAATCGCCTTGCGATACTCGTCACCGAGTCGTTCCAAGCTAGCAATCTGTTCGAACCATTGACTTCTCCGTGGTGAAGTTTGGATAGACCATGATGGCGGCCAAAATGGACATGGCTCGGGCTTTTGTCCTGGGTGCAAAAAGTCCTTGTAGCTGGCACCAAACCTCAAGACCATTGTTGTCTGCCACCTGTCTCAACACTTTCAAAGGCGTATTGCGCAGCACTCAAGACAAAATTGCGTATAACTTTGTTGAACGGGCTTTCGAAGCTTGACCTTCAACTGAATTTTGAAAAGTGACTTCAACATCACCATGGTCCTCAACATGTTTCAAGTCTGCTGAATACCCATCATCTGCAAAGCAAAGCAATTGTTTGAAGGAAAGCGGAAAGGCGGGCCAATTTGTTGAATCTTCTGCCGATACTGCACTACCAAACTCCTTAGGGCACTGCGCGGCACGATTGGCTTCTGAGAAACCAGAATGCTTCGAAACCCCCACGTCTCTGAGAGCTGTTGCAGCTTCAGCAGCTGCGGTTGCTGCCTGTTGGACAGCCTGCATCAGCGCTTGTGCCTCTGCCATCATTGCTAAATTGAATCACTTGGAAGTCCAAACTGCAAAGCAATGCAACAAACCACTCAAGATGTAAACCATTGACTGAACACGCAAACAGCAGTCCAGTAGAAGGTACAACCACTCCACGGAATGTTGCAACCACTTCGAAATCCCAAACTGTCCACACCCAAAAGCAATTGTGGCTAAAAACCAAAGAGATGCTTTTGCGGCAACGATCCCAGCTCCCTATGAACCCTTGGGGATCTGGGTCCTGAAGCAGTACCAATGGAGCTCACCACTGCCTCAAGGGTCGGTCAGTGGATCACAGCTCCGCTACCATGTTTATTTTCGCTCAGCCAAAAGCGACTGGAACATACACTTCTCGATTTGCGCATTTGCACATGAGACTGCCATGCAACTGGCAACTCTATATACGCTATTGGTAGCTGGATTACTGCAAGGTAAATCATTTGCACATTTGCACCACTGCGCCACTCCGCGGCTCAAGACGTGCTAGCATAGCTGCGTAAAAAGGTGCTGCGGTCCCACTGTGTGACCACAAGTTTTGTTAGCTTCGTAGCTTAGGTCCAGAGCTAAAGACTGGGGAAAACTGCCTCACCCGCCCGCCTTGTCCCCCTAGGTGGCAAAGTGTGTTGTTAAGTTGTTCGTTGAACACTTGGGAGTGCGAAGTCTTAATGCAAGCCGGCCTACATGAACCCCTTGGATGAAACTTAGCATGAAAACCCAAAGAAACCCAAGGTGGCAGTTAATGGACTTAAATCCCGCCGCCCCCTAACCCACCCCCGCACTTGCCCGCCAAGGTGGCAATGTATATTGTTATATAAAATTATATAAATATTTCCTTGAAGTATCTGGGAAATGAAACCCCAAAGAGGTCCAAGGTTCCAATGAGGTGCGCACGTGAGAACATTTTGCTGCGGTGCGCAAATGAGGTTTGTATCAGACATACACCAATACTGACAGCAGATCCTGAAAGTCAGGAGCGCAAGTGGGTCAAAATTGAGGCGCGCAAGTGAACTTGACGTGCGCAAGTGAGGTGAAAGGCGCGCAAGGGAGTCAGGTACGCAGAGGTTCTGGGTGCGCAAGTGAGGCGTTTGCCTGTTTGGATTGCGGCCAAAAATGTGAGACTTGCTGCAACCTACCATCGCAACAACGAGTTTGGGTTGGAAGAAGGCAATGCTTAAAGAGGCATATTGGTCAATTGTTCGTTGTTCACTTGTCAAAACATCTTTAAAACAATTAAATGCAAATTAATGCAGGGCAACGCCGTTACTTCCGATGCGTCCTAGTTGGAAACATGGCGCACCAATTATACAATTTTTTGTCATCCCAATGCCTGCCCCATTACCAATTCACGTCATGTTGCATGCGATCTAAGTACAGTGGAATGATGCGCTGAATTCAAACTGTGAACTTGCGGTGGGGTGAAAATGTACCACAACTGTGGCTGAGTGAATTTATTTTATCTTTTAAACCAATAGTGGCACCCAAGATTGGAACATTTCACAACACCGTTAGTCTCATCCCACGAAGTCAGGTTGCTGGGGGAACGCATTGTTGGCCCAAGTATTATTGTCACCACGCTTCATGTGAAAACAAACATGCCACGAATGGCAATGCCAACAGTCACGTGCAATATTTTATCAACAGTGTGCATGTGCACTCAACATCCTCTCTCATTGTGAATGTTTTCACGTTACATGTTTCATGGGTTCGTGACGCACACAATCGATAGTGTTTTGGTCGTTTTTGATCCATTCAATTTTGTTGTCATTTTCCCTTCTTGACACTCTTGTTACATATGATTTGACCAATCAATTATCAATTATTAAATTATGAATGCATTATGTTTTCCATCAATTTGTTTTTCGTGTGAATGATTGCGTTGATGGTTTCAATTGTGGTGGGTTTTCATGCGTAAGGATTGACACATGGATTTTTTATTTTTGAACAATCTGTTGTTGTCATCCACAATGTTTCAAAGTCAAAATGTTTTGGAGGACATTCGTTGCATTGGTTCATTCAGTGCTGACTTGTGGCATAGGGAGTGTCAGCAAAATGATTCCGATGCAATTGCAAGTGGTGTGCTGCAGACAAATACGCAACAATGTCAATAGATTAAGTGCATGGCATCCAGCAACAACAAAATCGGACCAAAATTGATAGCATGTTGGACAATTTCCACATCAACCTGTCCATTTGAAGCCGATCGATGTCGTTTTACAAACATGCAACATTCGAGGTTTGGATGGGGACAAATTCGGACTTGGATATTTTCATTTTTGACCTTGCAAACATGCATGGAGGTTGGACCTACTCGGGTGAACCCAATCCAGGATTCCAACCGTGGAAACCTCAGAATCCATTTCTCACTTTGTTGAAATAAATTGATGCAGCATTTGACAAAATCGAATGCGGTACTTTTTTTTTTGCGTTTGGATCGATTCGTATGGTTTTGAATTCCGAAAACTGAGGTTGGAGGGAGCGAACACTCATTGAAGGTTGTCATGCGAATCACACGGCAAACATGCTCTGCGTATCTCCCAGTCCATATCGATGGGAACCTCGTTCGAAAAACGTTCGGCGTTTTTATTCTGTCAAGGTGTGTGTCAGTTGTGGATTTGTCATGACTCTTCCACAAACGTGGAAAATACTGATCATGGTGGACCTGAAACTGCAAAGAAAAACAAACCAAACGTGTGATCCAATCCACAAGCAGCTTCGACTTAAACAATTAGGTTTTGATTTGAGGGCCGTTTGTATTTGTTGCATTTGTGCATGATCACAGATTGTGTTTTCCAGTGGAATATGGTCGCATACTTTGCAATATTACATACACAAAATCCTGTGCATTGCAGGAAGAAAATCCAATTTCCAATCAAGTATTTCGTCGTCGAGCCAAAGCCTGCGACTCAGAATCTGCAAACAAAAATGAAAACATTTCCTTGACACTTTGCTTTTCCCACATTTACTGAGGCTCCAAAAGATTTGAACAAGGAAATTTTGACAGCTGCTTGCCGGAAGTGATGATCCAACAACAATTTTATTTAGCACGTATTTAGCGTCATCATTTTCAAACAGGTATCCATCTCGACGCCCAAGAAATTGATATGTTTTTGTGATTGCATATTAGCATTTATTTGTTATACATTAATATTTGTTTCGTTCCGGAACCTTTATTTTGAAACTCCAACTACTTGCATTCATCCATTTACTGTCAACAAATGCTTGGTGACACCAAAGTGTTCATGCAAGGATGGATCATTAGAACCCACCATCCAGAGTTTGTGATGAATATATAAATACGTCTTTTTGGATTTGCATGCTTTAAAGATGTGAATGTTGTTATATTTGTTCTAATTTTCCCAGATGAAATTCAACGTGAATAGGTTGCACCATGTATAGTACAGCGCCAGTTTTGTTGATCCAAGAGGTTTTGCAGACGTTGATGTGGCATCGAGATAGAATGCTTTCCTGCGCAAAACCCTAGGTTAAGCAAGGAAATACTGAACCTACGATCTTGTAAAAAGCACATGAACACCAAACAAACTGAAAAATTCAAATTGCAAGGGTTTTCTTTGCGGATTTTTCGAGGCAAATGAAATGATGAAGCAAGCAGTGCGGCTCAGAAAACATTTTCAGCAGGACATCCAGGCTGCATCTCGGCAGCAAGTCGCATGAGCAAGTCCTGAGAGGTAATTCACATTCAGCGCGTCAGCCGCACTCAGCCTGGATCGATCCAGTCATTCGAAAACAAAGAATCTTGATGACGTAGTGTGGAGCAAGACACCAACATTTATATATTTTTGTACTGCCGCATTCAGAATTCCGGTCATTCGGGACAAGAGTGAATTAAGCTTTCTGTTGCCTAATTACTCATATGGTTCTTTGTGCTGCCGCTATGAATCTAGGCTGGCATAGCAATCAATGCAAACCAAGCGAAGCCATCAGTCCTACCAACCTCAGAGACTCGACGAGAGATTGGTGCAGATGTGCCGGAATGTGCAGGGCATATCGGGCACATCGGTCATGTGAGGATGTGTTTTTTGTTTCTGGAATAGATGAACCATAATGAAACTGTCGGAGGAAAGCAACAAAATGAACATGACAAAGAGAGGGGCAGTTGCTCTTTTAGGGTTGATATATGTGGATATAGACTCATACACTACGGGATCATTGTGCATGGGCGAATATGATAATTAGTCCTCAGTCTTGGAAGTGCCTACGGCTTATCCTCACAGGTTTGTTGCCAACATCGTGTGCGTTGCTGATCCTTTCTCTTTGGGACACACATCGCATAGAGTGCGTAGAGTGCAGGCTTCACCCGAATGGCTGCCACCTGCACCTGTTCGCTGTGAGACTCCTGGGACTCCGCTTGTTTACGAGGCCAGAGCCTGGGGCCCAGAGCCTTTCAGCTCTTCACACTGTTGACATTTTGCTGATATTGCTAGATGTTTGCTCCTTTCATTCTCTCTTCCAGCAAGTCTAGTACAGTAGTCTCTTAGTTTCGCATAAGACGTGGGAATGCCAGACTTTCATAGACTTTCTACGCATCGACAGGTGCAGCTGGAGCGTCAAAGACGACAAGAAGCTGAAGACGAGATCGATCGCCTTAAGGCTGAACTCAGGCGAGAGCCGAGGGCTGCACATGTTGCGATATGGCACCAAGTCTCTAAAGTCTCTATAGCTCTCCAACATTGCACGAGAGTCACCAGAGTCACCAGAGGTTCCATGAAGCATTCAATCTACTGTAGGTGTATTTTATCATATTTCATCAGTATGTCTTCACTAGTTTTACCATGCCTTGTTTTATTTTGCATTTTCTGACGCTTCTTAAGTGGACTAGTGTCAGGGCCTGCCGGAGTAGAACGTCCTCCACAACCACCACAAGAAGTTCTGGCCATTGGCCCTCGAGGCAAAAAAATACCAGTGCACTGTGCGACAATCACTTGTCAAATTATATGTATATACTCTGTCTCGGGCCTGCTCGTTCAACTGTAATGCAGAACAATGCAGAACAATGTAGAACAATGCAGAACAATGCACGTACATGTATATATCTCTATACATATCCTATACATCTTTATACATCTCTATTCATCTCTATACATCTCTATACATCTCTGTACATCTGTATACATCTCTATACATCTCTATACATCTCTATACAGTCTATATATATAGTCTATACAGTTTATAGAGTCTATATAGTCTATACAGTCTATTAATAAATCCACCTATCTATCAATCTATCCATCCATCTATCCATCTATCCATTTATCCATCTATCCATCCATCCATCTATCCATCTATCGATTTTTCTATGTATCTATCTATGTATTTATGTATCTATCTATGTATCTGCCACACTCATGTTTGACTGACAGGCAGCCTTCATGGGTCAAGTTCCCCTTGCAAGGTTGCAACTCACCTGTTGTGCCAGGCGCAATCATCCTCGCCAGGTGCTTGAGCTAGTGCCTGCTGGCGTGGTTGCTGAAGCAGAAGAACCAGAACAGGAAGACGGTGTCAGCACCACTTCTGAGAGCACCAATCCAGGGCCGAGACTTCAGCTGTGGGTTGTACCAAACTCCAGGTGTCCAAACGCCGGCATCTTAGGACCGACTGCAAGGCTTGGAGCCTACTTTGGATCCGAAGGTCTGGAACCTCCTGAGCGTCTGTGCCACAACGAGATCAGGTGGTACGCTGTCTGGCATATCCCAGCCATTGGGCGTTGGAGAGTAGCTGGCATCCATTGGGGTTTTGACAACACAGCCTACGCTGCAATTTTGGCCCTTCACCGTGGAATCTTTGAAGGGATTGCTTTCAGGAGGTGTGATTCGCGTGAAGAAGCGGCAGAGATTTTCAAACCAAGGGCAGAAGGTTTTGATCTGGGAGAAAGTCTGAGCAATCGCATTTTTGGCTGGAGCTTCACCTAGGATCTTGAAAGCTGGCAGCCGGGGTTTCCTGAAGCTCGCTGAGGGTTTTGAGACGCCGCGTTGGCGCGAAGCTTTAGTGGTATCTCTGGAGAACGAGTGGCTTCAATGCTTAGTGCGATGCTCACGTGCTTGCTGCTGGTAGGTTCAGAGTCAGCCATGGCCATGCCTATCACTGCGCAAACAGCTGGGGAACGGCGGAAAGCCACTATCAGACAAGCAAGAGAACCCTTGAAGCTGGGGAGACCTGTCACGGAGGCCACTGTGCAGATACGGGAGAGGTTTTGGAACGCTTTTCTGGAATGGACTGTCGAGTCCGGCATCGATATTGGCTATATGCTTCAGAATCACCAGACTTGCATCGATGAGTTGAATCTGGTTGTTATGGTTAGATATGGTAGGCTCCTGTATTCTTCCGGGAAATCATATCTACAGTATGCCGAGACCCTAAACAGCTTAGGAGCTCGGAAGCCTGCGGTGAGACGCCTGCTGCAACAGAGCTGGGACTTGGGTTATTCCTGGATGAGGAGCGAACCTTCTTCTCATCATGTAGCAATACCACCTGTGATTTTGGTGGCAATGATCACGACGGCTTTGCTTTGGGGCTGGGTTAGAGTAGCTGGGTGTCTAGCCCTCAGATTCAATGCCTTATTGAGGCCTGGCGAGATATTTGGTGCTTTGAGGAAGGATCCTTTGCTTCCATCTGATCTGGACTTTTCGATTGAATACGCCTTGATTTCGATCCAGGAGCTGAAGAGCCGCTTTACGTATGCCCGCCACCAAACGGGAAAAGCTGACAGCAGTGATATGGTTGGTATTATAGAGCTTGCATTTTCTGGGCTTTTTGAACATGAAAGACTTTGGCCTTTTGGCCTTCAGACCCTGCGGAATCGCTTGAAATCTTTGCTGGCGCTTTGCGTCTTCCAGTTGAGAGCACTAGTTCTTTACGAGCATTAGACCTGGGCTCACTGAGAAGTGGAGGAGCCACTTTTATTATCCAAAAGACGGAGGATTCCGAGCTGTGTCGGCGGAGGGGAAGATGGGCGAACCATAAAATGCTTGAAATTTACATTCAGGAGACGATGTCTCTGCAATACCTCAAGCTGATCTCAGCTGATTCTCGTCGTCTCTGCCTAGATGTTGCGAAAAGCTTTTCAGATGTGGTCACTGCTTGCCGAAGTTTCAGGGCTGCACATTTACCAGAACATCTTTGGTACTCACTCCACCGACGGTGAAAGGCGACTTGAGAGTCTGGAAAAAATGGGTGGAAAAGATGGGTGGAGCTTGGATCTACTACTTGAGATTCAAGCAGTCTTTTTGTTGCAGCACCAGCTGCTGAAGCTTGGGAATCACGCTTCATATGCAGCAGATGCAGCACCTGTGGATGATGCGTACACGCTGGAGGAAAAAGACCGTGAGACTGGATGAATGGATGAGCACTATCAATGAATGCTGGCGTTACATTTTTCCACTCAAGATCTACCCTGAATTCCACTCCCTCCCATCACTGGGTGGAGCTTGGATCTACTACTTGAGATTCAAGTAGTCTTTTGTTGCAGCACCAGCAGCAGAAGCTTGGAAATCACGCTTCATATGCAGCAGATGCAGCACCTGTGGATGATACACGCTGGAGGAAAAAGACCGTGAGACTGGATGAATGGATATATATATATATATCTATCTACCTATCTATGGAGAGGCCAATGGGGGAAGTCTACGTATAAAGCGAAATGGATGCAGGAAATTGAGAGGCACCTAGGGGGAAGAGAAAGTTCGATATTGAAACAGGATGAGCGCAAAAAGTTGTTGGGAAATATGCCCCCACCTGATAACTTGCACGAGCTTAGCCGCTCCGGGTGATATGCGTGCACAAGGTTTATTTGAGATGTTCCAATAAAACAGCGGCCAGAATATGTAATTTCAGGTCCGAGCTACAAAAATGTAATATGTAAAAGCAGAAAAAATGAAAACATATGAGTTTGGAGCGGGTTTGGAGTGAGTTTGGAGAATCCCCAACTTTTCCCCCCAAAAAATGAAATAACAAAAAAACATATGAGTTTGGAGCGAGTTCGGAGTGAGTTTGGAGAGAGTATGGAGAATCTCCAAACTCACTCCAAACTCATTCCTCTTTTCCAAAAAAAGTAAAATAGAAAAAAAAAACAGAAAAATGAAAACATATGAGTTTGGATCGAGCTTGGAGAATTTCCAAACTCACTCCAAACTCATTCCTCTTTTTCAAAAAACAAAGGTAACATAGAAAAAAAAACAGAAAAATGAAAACATATGAGTTTGGAGCGAGTTTGGAGTGAGTTTGGAGAATCTCCAAAATCACAAAGAAATCTTTGCTTGATGTCATTGTCAATTTTTTTGGATTTATTTTTTTGAAAAGAAAAGGAAAAATGAGTTTGGAGAATCTCCAAACTCTCTCCAAACTCAAAAAAAGATTTGCGTGCACAACTTTTTTGCAAAGAAAATATGCGTGCAGCCACTCAAAAAAAGAGTTGTGCACGCATATTTTTTTGAGTTTGGAGAGAGTTTGGAGATTCTCCAAACTCATTTTTCCTTTTTTTAAAAATATTCCGAAAATTTTTGAAAATTACATCAAACAAAGATTTCTTTGTGAGTTTGGAGTGAGTTTTCTCCAAACTCGATCCAAACTCATATGTTTTCATTTTTCTGTTTTTTCTATTAAACTTTTTTTTTGGAAAAGAGGAATGAATTTGAAGTGAGTTTGGAGATTCTCCAAACTCTCTCCAAACTCGCTCCAAACTGAAATGATTTCATTTTGGTCTTATGTTTTTTCCTTTATTGTCTTTTTCATTTTTGTTTGGAAAAGACGAACGACTTTGGAGTGAGTTTGGAGATTCTCCAAACTCTCTCCAAACTCACTCCAAGCTCGCTCCAAACTCATATGTTTTCATTTTTCTGTTTTTATTTTTCTTTTTTTTGAAAAGAGGAATGATATTCCGCCAGAATATGTAATTTCAGGTCCCAGAATATGTAACATGTAAAACAGGAATTTGGACTTTGAGTGGGCAAGGGCCTGATCGATCACAGGAGTTTAGTGACCCACGGCTGTTTGCAAATACACGTGTATATGCACCTGGCGAATGAAAAATTATATTTCAGGGGGTAGGGAGTATAGTGGTAAGATAGTTGTGGAAATCTAAAGGTATATGAATATGTTATGGTACCTGTAAATGTATATGCATATGCTGTTTTATCGACCCCCCAAATCTTGGGTTTTACCAGTGGCTACATATTGATATTTCTGAGAGGAACCCCGCAAAACCTGACACGCTTGCACGCATATGCAAGTGGTTCCCCGGGTGACTCGTGCAAGTTAACACCCCCACCTACCTTTCGTCCCCCCTCTCAAGTGATATTCATATTCGCCTACACAATATTGTATATACAAGTTCATGCTTACTATATAAGATTTCAATGTATAGAAAGTGTGTGTGTCTATGATTTCAATACATACATGTATATATGATTTCTATCTCTGACGGCTGTTTGGTCACCACTCAAATGGTTGTATGTTGTGGGAGGACCGGGTGCTTGCGAGTGCTGGTTTGCTGAGTGAAATGGTGTGGGATATTGCCTTTCCTATCCACTGCGGCTCCTCATGGATTCCTTTGCTGATTGTTGGACTTCGCTTTGGATTTGTGCTTGGGATTGGACTTTCCCTCTGAACCCTGTAGGTTGTCTTGTACTTGCGCTTGACTGGACCTGCATCCACAGTCCTGTTCCCCCTCCCTCTTTACAATCTCCTTCGGCTGATCTCTTTCAGAGAACCAAGCTAAGGGGCTACTTGCCCTTTGATGAGTAGTGGACTTTATCCCCAGCTCTTGGCTTCGTGAAAAGAGGCTGACAGGCCTACTGCCCCCCTCCAGCTGTGTATAAAACATGCATAACAAATAGATGGTTAAAAAAGGATTGTGAATGCTATTTCTGACTGCTGTTTGATGACCACTCAAGTACACCCACCTGTGGCAACTCCCACCCATTGCCGCCTGCGCTTGGAATACAATGAACTGGTGGGCTACGTGAGTCATGAAGCGGCCAACATCTGCTCAACTCTGGTGACTGTAGACAGCCATGCTCCAAACGCAAATTAGATATGTTTGATATGTTTGTAAATGTAAAATAATGTAAATGTGTCTGCTTATGTTGCTTATTTATGTTCCTATTATTACAATTTCAATTCCCAAGATGCTGGAAGCTTGGTGAAACGACTTCAGACCTTCCCTGTCTTGCAAAGAAAGTGTTTGAAAGGAGTAGGGCCTACAGTATTTTGAACTTATCCGTTTCTGGAGTACAGGTAATGCCTTGGATTGTGTGCAACAACTGCTTTGTTGAGGGAAACACAAACTCCTCGTTCAACTTCGCGTTCAGCGCATTTGGATGCACCTTGACTGCGTTGGATGATAGGAATTTGCACTTTAGCGCTTTTGCATTTCGGAGTGCCCGAGACCAAGCCAGAATGAGCCACTCCAAACATGAACGAAGATAGAGATGACGACAGAAACACCATGCGGCTTGGCTTTGCAACGTTTGGAGCACGCGACTGCGGATTCCAAGGCAATCAATTGCTTTGGCACCTCAGCTGCACAGTCTGCTTTGCTTCACCTTCGCCACTGAGCAAAGCATGTGAAGCAATCGGGCAGGTGAGCCACCTCGGGGCACAAAAGGCAGGAGGGGAATGGGACTAAGCAGATGCAAATGCCTTCTATGAAACCCTGACTACAAGCCGCACCCATCCAAATTTCGACTGATGCTCCAATGCGAGACAGGAAAACCTTTGAAACATGGGCCGACATTTTTTTCAACTTCACATTTTTTTTGTGTTCGTACTGGCGTTGTGAGATTCTGAGCTGCCATATCTTTCATTTTTTTCTTCACCTTGTGAGGCTTGCCCTTAATAATGATGTGGAGGCCTATGAATTTAGATGCACAGAGAAACACAACATATTCGTACATATTCAACAGTTTCAGATCTCCAACAGTGACAAAACGGCTTAGCACTATTTCACATTGCATGTGAATGCCGGAGTTCGAAAGTATTTGCCTGCATTTGTAAAGGAAGTCCTGCAGTTTGCTGAAATATGTACGGCATGATGTGCTGCTTGTGTCGTGGCGTGTTTGTGTTTGTGTTTGTGTTTGTGTTTGCGTGTGTGTGTAACATCTAAATAGATGTAAAACTTCTCCTTTTTTCCTTTTCTTTCTTCTCTCCTTTTAATAAAGCAGGGGGACTGGAGCCGATTTGCCTATCCAGTCCAACGAAGCTATGGCATTTCGGTGGATGAGTGGTCTGATCAACCACTTGTACCTGCATTTTTTCGGAAAACCTTCATCGTTTTGCGAAGTACAACCACGAGATCTACTTTAGGTCTAATTGTCTAGGCTGGTTGCACGTTCAAGGACTCAGTTCCTGATGGATCTCTTAAAAGATCCAATTTTGTCTAGTGTAATATCCATGGTGACTCCGGCATGGTACCATGGAGCCACTTGAGGCAACCCCTTTGCGGGTGACTGTGGACGAACTTGACATCAGAATTGACACTTTTAAATTAGTAATTCGTTTAAGTAAAGCGAAACAGGTGGCCTTTCGGTTACGCACCATTTTGTGAAGTCCCGCTGGTCCGGTTGTCCCTTGAGATCCTTCTGAACCTGCACCTTCGCCGAAGTGAGATTGCTCGGAACTGCAGAAACTGTTTCTTTTCCATTTGCGCAGCTTTTGAAGTGACATTTGAACAGCAAAGACAGGCACATGCTTTCCAGGTGTGGTCTTTCTTTCTTTTGATAGTTTTCTGGTGAGGTTGAACATATCGTGCACCCAATTCGGTGGAACTTGAACAGCTGTTTATGCCATTGCGGCACGACTTGACTACGGTCCCGAAGGGGAGTAACGCACGACTTCTAATGTAAGTTGAACTGAGTCCTGTTTTGATAATTTTTTTTGTTGTTTCACGCCCGTCACCAACTAGTCCCCATTCGGTCCCTAATTTTCCCCGCGTGCCTCTCCGTAATGTGTCGTGGGGTTTAGGTGTGTGCGCTGTTTTGGTCAGGTCCGTTTCGTCGTGTAGGTTGGTTCTGAAGGTCCGTTCGTTCCCTCCCCCCCCCGCGCTGTTCTGGCCTTTTGCCCGTCGTCTGTGTCCGCTTTTCCTTCCTCTTGCCTTTCAGGGTTGACCCGGCTCCGGCCGGGTGTGTGTGTAACATCTAAATAGATGTAAAGCTTCTCCTTTTTTTCTTTTTCTTTCTTCTCTCCTTTTAATAAAGCAGGGGGACTGGAGCCGATTTGCCTATCCAGTCCAACGAGGCTATGGCATTTCGGTGGATGAGTGGTCTGATCAACCACTTGTACCTGCATTTTTTCGGAAAACCTTCATCGTTGTGCGAAGTACAACCACGAGATCTACTTTAGGTCTAATTGTCTAGGCTGGTTGCACGTTCAAGGACTCTGTTCCTCATGGATCTCTTAAAAGATCCAATTTTGTCTGGTGTGTGTACCATGTGTATAGATGTAAAACTTCATAGTAGTGCAGGGGGGCAACAGCCCATCTTCCTATGTTGCCCAACGAAGCTACGGAAGATGTGGTGGATGGGTTCATGGACGCATGAACCTGTACCTGCATTAAATAAATAAATAAATAAAAAATATATATAGATAGATATATTTATACATATATATATATAGTCCTGCCCTGGGCGCATATAAGTCGCAGCTGGGGGGGACATATATCTTATCGCTGTTGTTTTACATGGTCAATGTCTACTGTGATTATACGTCTATATATTATTGTATTAGGTCTCATTCTTCGTGTCAGTTTATTGTTGGTGTTTTTGCACGTCCGTTGCATTCCACATCAGAATTCGCAAAAACTGTTCTGAGCAAGTGTGTGTGTATCATCTAAATAGATGTAAAACTTCTCTCTTTTTCTTCCTTCTGTCCTCTCCCTTTCTAATCTTAATATTAATGCAGGGGGTGGATGCATGGTCTGGCAGTCATCCACCAACGAAGACACTGCCTTTCCATGGTGATATGACAAAGGGAGGCCTTTGTCACGTACCTGCTTTTTTCGGACATAGCAAGGGGCCAAGCTCAGAACCCCAACCACAATATGACACGATTGCCGCAATCTGAACAATTTCTTTTTGAAGTTGATTAATTTGTTTCCCATCTAATTTGCATGTTTCAGGATTCAGTTCCTGCCGGATCAACATAATGATCCATTCTTATCTAGTGTGATTCCTATGGTGACTCCGACATGGTGCCATTGGGCCAATTGAGGCAACCCCAGTTGGGGTCAATGTCGACTGACTTGAACTCCGAATTTACACATTTTAATCTAGTAATTCGTGTAAGTAAAGTGCAACAGCTGGCCTTACTGTTCTGCACCTTTTTCGAGATGTCCTGCCGCTGCGGCTGTCCCTTGAGATCATTCGTGAAATCCATTCTTTACCGAGTGAAGCTGTGCCGAACATTCAGAAACTTCCTTTTGCACTTGCAGCTTTTGACATGACAGTGGCATTACAACATGCACAAGGATCCAGGCAGGCACACGACTTTCAGGTGTGGTCTTTTTCTTTTGATGGTTGTCTGGTGAGGTCAAACATATTGTGCACCTAATTCGATGGAACTTGATAGCTGTTTTATGCCAATTGGGGCAAGACCTGACCACGGTCCCGGCAAGGGAATAACGCACGACCTTTAGGAGTTAGGAACTGAGTCCTGTTGTTTAATTGTTTTGGTTTTCTTGTCTGTCATCAACTAGTCCCCCATTTGGTCCCTAATTCTCCCCGCGTGCCTCTCCGTAATGTGTCGTGGGTTTAGGTGTGTGCGCTGTTTTGGTCAGGTCCGTTTCGCCGTGTAGGTTGGTTTTGGAGGTCCGTTTGTTCCCCTCCCCCCCCGCGCTGTTCTGGCCTTCTGCCCGTCGTCGGTGTTCGCTTTTTTTTTCCTCTTGCCTTTCAGGGTTTACCCGGCTTCGACCGGGTGTGTGTGTGTGTAACATCTAAACAGATGTAAAACTTCTCTCTTTTTCTTCCTTCCGCCCTCTCCCTTTCTAAATAACGCAGGGGGTGCCAGGGATCATTGCAAGTCTGGCACTAACAAAGGCACTTGCCTTGATCTGTGATATCAGAAAGGGACGCCTTTCTGACGTACCTGCCAATTTCCCATCTAATCTGCATGTTTCAGGATTCAGTTCCTGCCGGATCATATAATGATCCATTCTTGTCTAGTGTGATTCCTATGGTGACTCCGACATGGTGCCATAGGGCCAATTGAGGCAACCCCAGTTGGGGTCAATGTCGACTGACTTGAATTCCGAATTCACACATTTTAATATGGTAATTCGCTTAAGTAAAGCGAAACTGTCGGCCTTACTGTTATCCACCGTTTTCGAAGAGTCTCGCTGCTCCTGTAGTCCCAGGGTTTTCTCGCCGAGATTCCTGTCTGCCAGAGTGAAGCCGTTCGAAACAATCAGAAACTCTGTTTTTTACTGCAGCTTCAGCTTTTGAACATTTGTGACAACAGAAAGGCAGGCACATGCTTTCCAGGTGTGGTCCTTTTTCTTTTGATGGTTGTCTGGTGAGGTTAAACATATTGTGCACCTAATTCGTTGGAACTTGAAAGCCGTTTTATGCCGATTGGGGCAAGACTTGAACACGGGCCTGGAGTGGCATAACGCACGAACCCTAGGTTTAGGAGCTGAATCCTGTTGTTTAACTAATTGTTTTGGTTTCCTTGTCTGTCACCAACTAGTCCCCCATTTGGTCCCTAATTTTCCCCGCGTGCCTCTCCGTAATGTGTCGTGGGGTTTAGGTGTGTGCGCTGTTTTGGTCAGGTCCGTTTCGCCGTGTAGGTTGGTTCTGGAGGTCCGTCTGTTCCCCTCCCCCCCCTGCGCTTGTTTTGGCCGTCTGCCCGTCGTGTGTCCGCTTTTTTCTTCCTCTTGCCTTTCAGGGTTGACCCGGCTCTGGCCGGGTGTGTGTGTGTGTGTAAAATCTAAACAGATGTAAAACTTCTCTCTTTTTCTTCCTTCCGTCCTCTCCCTTTCTAAATAACGCAAGGGGTGCCAGGGATCATTGCAAGTCTGGCACTAACAAAGACACTTGCCTTGATCTGTGATATCAGAAAGGGACGCCTTTCTGACGTACCTGCCAATTTCCCATCTAATCTGCATGTTTCAGGATTCAGTTCCTGCCGGATCATATAATGATCCATTCTTGTCTAGTGTGTATCATCTAAATAGATGTAAAACTTCTCTCTTTTTCTTCCTTCTGTCCTCTCCCTTTCTAATCTTAATATTAATGCAGGGGGTAGATGCATGGTCTGGCAGTCATCCACCAACGAAGACACTGCCTTTCCATGGTGATATGACAAAGGGACGCCTTTGTCACGTACCTGCTTTTTTCGGACACAGCAAGGGGCCAAGCTCAGAACCCCAACCACAATATTACACGATTGCCGCAATCTGAACAATTTCTTTTTGAAGTTGATTAATTTGTTTCCCATCTAATTTGCATGTTTCAGGATTCAGTTCCTGCCGGATCAATATAATGATCCATTCTTATCTAGTGTGTGTGTGTGTGTTCGTGTGCGCTTCTAAATCAGCTGGGCACAAAAATGAGGCTCGTGGCGGCAAGTTCTTTGCAACTGGAACCTGTGAGTCTTGTAGGAGATAGAAAAGGTATGTTCTCAGGCCTATCAGTCAAAACTCAGTATAAGACTCAGCATAAGACTCAGTATAAGACTCAGTGAAAGATTCATCAAAAGACTCAGTATAAGACTCAGTATAAGACTCAGCATAAGGCTCGGTATCAGACTCAGTATAAGACTCAGCGTAAGACTTAGCATAAGAGTCAATAAAAGACACAGTATAAGACTCAGTAAAAGACTCATCATAAGACTCAGTAAACGACTCAGTATAAGACTCAGTAAAAGACTCAGTATAAGACTCAGCATAAGACTCAGGATAAGACTCAGCATAAGACTAAGTATAAGACTCAGTATAAGACTCAGTATAAGACTCAGTAGAAAACTCAGTATAAAACTCAGCATAAGACTCAGCATAAGACTCAGCACAAGACTCAGGATAAGACTCGGCAAGGGTCTCAGGGTAAGAGTCAGTATAAGACTCAGGATAAGACTCAGTATAAAACTCAGGACAAGAAGCAGTATAAGACTCAGCATAAGACTCAGCATAAGACTCAGGATAAGACTCAGGATAAGACTCAGTAAAAGACTCAGGATAATACTCAGTATAAGACTCAGTATGAGACTCAGTAAAAGACCCAGGTTAGGACTCAGGATAGGACTTAGTATAAGACTTAGGATAAGACCCAGTATAAGACTCAGTATAAGATTCAGTTAGAAGACTCAGTATAAGGCTGAGCATAAGACTCAGGATAAGACTCAGTATAAGACGCAGTATAAGACTCAGGATGAGACTCAGTATACTGTAAGTCTCAGTATAAGACTCAGGATAAGACTCAGTATAAGACTTAGTATAAGACTCAGTATAAGACTCAGAATAAGACTCAGGATAAGACTCAGGATAAGACTCAGTAAAAGACTCAAGATAAGACTCAGTATAAGACTCAGTATAAGATTCAGTATAAGACTCAGTATACTGTAAGTCTCAGTATATGACTCAGTATAAGACTCAGTAAAGGACTCAGGATAAGACTCAGAATAAGACTCAGGATAAGACTCAGGATAAGACTCAGTATAAGACTCAGTATAAGACTCAGGATAAGACTCAGCAAAAGACTCAGTATAAGACTCAGCAAAAGACTCAGGATAAGACTCAGTATAAGACTCAGCGTAAGACTCAGCATAAGACTCAGGATAAGACTCAGCATAAGACATTATAAGACTCAGGATAAGACTCAGTATAAGACTCAGTATAAGACTCAGCATAAGACTCAGGATAAGACTCAGAATAAGACTCAGTGTAAGACTCAGTATGAGACTCAGTATAAGACTCAGGATAAGACTCAGCATAAGACTCAGCATCAGGATAAGACTCAGTAAAAGACTCAGTATAAGACTCAGGAAAGGACTCAGGAAAGGACTCAAGATAAGACTCAGGATAAGACTCAGGATAAGACTCAGTATAAGGCCCAGGATAAGACTCAGGATAAGACTCAGTATAAGACTCAGGATCAGACTCAGGACAAGACTGAGGATAAGACTCAGTATAAGACTCAATATAAGACTCAGCATAAGACTCAGTATAAGACTCAGCACAAGACTATGTATAAGACTCAGGATAAGGCTCGGTATAAGACTCTGCATAAGACTCGGTATAAGACTCAGGATACGACTGAGTATAAGACTCAGTATAAGATTCAGTATAAGACTCAGTATACGGTAAGTCAGGATAAGACTCACTATAAGACTCAGGATAAGACTCAGTATAAGACTCAGTAAAAGACTCAGCATAAGACTCAGGTTAGGACTCAGGATAGGACTTAGTATAAACCTCAGTATAAGACTCAGTATAAGACTCAGTATAATACTCAGTATAAGACTCAGCATAAGACTAAGACCCAGGATAAGACTCAGTATAAGACTCAGCATAAGACTGTGGATAAGACTCAGTATAAGATTCAGTATAAGACTCAGTATACTGTAAGTCTCAGTATAAGACTCAGGATAAGACTCAGTATAAGACTTAGTTTAAGACTCAGTATAAGACTCAGAATAAGACTCAGGATAAGACTCAGGATAAGACTCAGTAAAAGACTCAAGATAAGACTCAGAATAAGACTGAGGATAAGACTCAGCATAAGACATTATAAGACTCAGGATAAGACTCAGTATAAGACTCAGGATAAGACTCAGGATAAGGCTCAGGATAAGGATCAGCATAAGACTCAATATAAGACTCAGTATAACACTCAGTATAAGACTCAGTATAAGATTCAGCATAAGACTCAGTATACTGTAAGTCTCAGTATAACACTCAGTATAAGACTCAGTATAAGACTCAGTATAAGACTCAGTATAAGACCCAGGATAAGACTCAGCATAAGACTCAGCATCAGGATAAGACTCAGCAAAAGACTCAGCATAAGAGTCAGGATAAGACTCAGTAAAAGACTCAGTATAAGACTCAGTATAAGACTCAGTATAAGACTCAGTATAAGACTCAGGATAAGACTCAGTATAAGATTCAGGAAAAGACTCAGTATAAGACTCAGGATAAGACTTGGCACAAGATTAAGCATAAGACTCAGTATACAACTCAGTATACGACTCAGTATACGACTCAGTATAAGACTCAGTAAAAGACTCAGGATAAGACTTGGCACAAGATTAAGCATAAGACTCAGGATAAGACTCAGTACAAGACTTATGATAAGACCCAGTATAAGACTCAGTATAAGATTCAGTTATAAGACTCAGTATAAGGCTGAGCATAAGACTCAGTATAAGACTCAGTATAAGACCCAGTATAAGACGCAGTATAAGAATCAGTATAAGACTCAGTATAAGACTCAGGATAAGACTCGGCAAGGGTCTCAGGGTAAGGCTCAGTATAAGACTCAGCATAAGACTCAGCATAAGACTCAGGATAAGACTCAGTATAAGACTCAGTATAAGACTCAGTATAAGACTCAGGATAAGACTCAGGATAAGACTCAGAATAAGACTCAGGATAAGACTCAGGATAAGACTCAGTAAAAGACTCAGGATAATACTCAGTATAAGACTCAGTATGAGACTCAGTAAAAGACCCAGGTTAGGACTCAGGATAGGACTTAGTATAAGACTTAGGATAAGACCCAGTATAAGACTCAGTATAAGATTCAGTTAGAAGACTCAGTATAAGGCTGAGCATAAGACTCAGGATAAGACTCAGTATAAGACGCAGTATAAGACTCAGGATGAGACTCAGTATAAGACTCAGTAAAAGACTCAGGATAAGGCTCAGTATAAGATTCAGTATAAGACTCAGGATAAGACTCAGTATAAGACTCAGTACAAGACTCAGTATAAGACTCAGGATAAAACTCAGGATAAGACTCAGCGTAAGACTCAGCATAAGACTCAGTGTAAGACTCAGTATGAGACTCAGTATAAGACTCAGGATAAGACTCAGCAAAAGACTCAGCATATGACTCAGTATAAGACTCAGGATAAGACTCAGGATAAGACTCAGTATAAGACTCAGTACAAGACTCAGTATAAGACTCAGTATAAGACTCAGGATAAGACTCAGGATAAGACCCAGTATAAGACTCAGGATAAGAATCAGTATAAGACTCAGCATAAGACATTATAAGACTCAGGATAAGACTCAGTATAAGACTCAGGATAAGACTCAGGATAAGACTCAGCATAAGACTCAATATAAGACTCAGTATGAGACTCAGTATAAGACTCAGGATAAGACTCAGCATAAGACTCAGCATCAGGATAAGACTCAGTAAAAGACTCAGTATAAGACTCAGTATAAGACTCAGTATAAGACCCAGGATAAGACTCAGCATAAGACTCAGCATCAGGATAAGACTCAGCAAAAGACTCAGCATAAGAGTCAGGATAAGACTCAGTAAAAGACTCAGTATAAGACTCAGTATAAGACTCAGTATAAGACTCAGTATAAGACTCAGGATAAGACTCAGTATAAGATTCAGGAAAAGACTCAGTATAAGACTCAGGATAAGACTTGGCACAAGATTAAGCATAAGACTCAGTATACAACTCAGTATACGACTCAGTATACGACTCAGTATAAGACTCAGTAAAAGACTCAGGATAAGACTTGGCACAAGATTAAGCATAAGACTCAGGATAAGACTCAGTACAAGACTTATGATAAGACCCAGTATAAGACTCAGTATAAGATTCAGTTATAAGACTCAGTATAAGGCTGAGCATAAGACTCAGTATAAGACTCAGTATAAGACCCAGTATAAGACGCAGTATAAGACTCAGGATGAGACTCAGTATAAGAGTCAGTAAAAGACTCAGGATAAGGCTCAGTATAAGATTCAGTATAAGACTCAGGATAAGACTCAGCATAAGACTCAGTAAAAGACTCAGCATAAGACTCAGGATAAGACTCAGTATAAGACTCAGGATAAGACTCAGGATAAGACTCAGTATAAGACTTAGGATAAGACTCAGGATAAAACTCAGTATAAGATTCAGTATAAGACTCAGGATAAGAGTCAGCATAAGACTCAGCATAAGACTGAGCATCAGACTCAGGATAAGACTCAGTATACGACTCAGTATAAGACTCAGTATAAGACTTAGTATAAGACTCAGTATAGGTTGTACAAGATAGTACAGGTACTGTAATTTCTGGGTATCTCTCAGCAATTTCTGAGTCATAAAGAGTCATATGATGGCAGGCCTCTTGAATGCTTCTGGTGATCCAGTAGCTGTGTTTGTAGCACTGTCTATGAGTTGAATCTTGCGATGGCCTGTCAAGGACTTGAACCAGACATCAGATTCCTTAAAGTTTTGAATGAAATGCTGCAGCCAGAATTTTGAGAGCCTTAGGAAAATGCAACGGATGTAACGATTTGCAAAATAGCATAGTTGGAAGACAGCTAAAAATATGTGCTGGTGCACGAGGGCGGAAATATCGAGGCTGAGCGAAGATGAAAGTACTTGTACCATGTATATACACATGAGAAAGATCCTGACAAAGTACATTCTTGAATGAACCATACTTATTGAATTTCTTTGAACAAATCGTTTCTTTGGATGAATTTAGCTTCACTCAGCTTCATTGTTGCAGAGGCAGAGTTTGGTTGGATGAACAGTTATCTTAACCGGATTAAGAAAACCCGACTATTAGCTTGGGGGGGCCCAAAACGGTGAGAACTTGCCATGAAAAATTGGCACCACCTGTTAATACATCCAGCAATCCTGGGTTAACATTAACCTCGCTTCTTGCCAGGACCCAATGGGGCGGACAGAGCACGAAAAAAAGTGGCAGCGGCAGCACGGACGCGTTGTCCGTACACTGCTTCTGCCTTCACTGTACAATCGAACCCAGTTTCTGGAAATTCCTGAAAGACTCTGAAAGTCCCAAGCGGCTGAGCAGTGCTGCTTCGAGGCTCATTGGAAGAGGCTTGATGTCTCGAATGGGATGTGAAATTGAGTGTTTCACTCAGGTGGATGTTGTACACAGCAGAAGCCAACACGGCTTCGTTACATTGAACCAATCCTCTTAGCTTCAGAGTGATGATCCAAGCCAATCCAAGCCGATGCCGATTTAGTATTTCAACTGTTCAATATTTTCCAAATAAATATTGAGATTGAAAGAGATACGCATTTACTACATTATGTAGGTACGGGCCGGGTGAAAATCACACTTTGGAGCTGGGGCATTGTGGCTAGTTGCATTTGACTGCATGAGTAAATCATTGTCAAAATCAATGCACCACAATCGCAGTAATAACTAATTTGCTTCTAGTCTTGTCAAAAGGTAGCTATCGTGGAATATGATCTGGATACATGACAGTTTGAACTTGGATGGAAGAGGGCCAATGCTGTGGGGCCAATGCTGTGTGGGACTTTGGACCATACGTGCTGCCATTTTCACTCCAAACATCAGCCAGTTCCACCTTTGAAACATTTTGCAGGGGTCTTATCGCTTCTCTGTTTGTTTGTTTGCCTTGATTGTAGCCCTTGACCGTATGATGTTGGAGTGGCATCCTGCAGCTCAGGTAAGTTTGACTTTGCTCTTGGAGAAAGCCGTCTTTCATTCAAGGCCTTGTGAAGCTGTCCATAGTGGAATTGGTGAAAACAGCACAAGGATGCTTTGGTGATATTTGGTGAAGGATGCCCATGCAATTTTCGTGGCAATAAATGCACACAGCCTTCCGGCCACAAGTCCTGCCTGATGATACTTCCTGTCATCCATCAGCAGAAGTAGCTACAGTCTTGCAAAGCCTTTGGTTGAAGTACATCTATGGAAGGGCTCAAAGTCAAGACGTATTGCGAAGATGCTTTTGCATCCTGGGTAACGACAAGCGCTGCTCAGATGAGTGCGGAGAGCTATGTGGAGACCCCCTTCAGCACGCATACCCAGTCTGGGTGCTTTAGGGCATTTGAACTTACTTTCCTTCTTTGTCTTTGATGGAAACATTGTTTTCTTGTGTTTTCTCTGTCAACGCGGGAACTGACTGAAAACTTGGTCGATTTTCATCATTACGAAGCAGGTGCACGACAGTCATTGGAGGATTCATATATGAACGAGTTCGCTGGGGACTCCTATCCTTGATCAGCTGCAGTGTGAGTCCGTCCCAAAGACGGCTGCCATACATTCATTGACCTGGCCGTGGACGAGCTGGTGAAAAGGCATAAACATCTTCCGGACATTTGGCAATTCTAAAGCAACTCAAGAAACTATTTTCTTAGAGTGGCTTTTTTTCATGCACATTTGCTGTCCAATGCATCTGCCAGATGGGCCTTCAGTGGAGGATAACCCTTCAATGGAAGTGCCCCAATTGCAAGGATCTCAGAGGATTTTTGATAGACTGAGTCACTAAGACTGACTAAGACAATTGAGACCTGGAGAGTGATATCAAGAGATGAAGCATTTGCCTCGATTGTGTACTGGGTCTCAAAGCTTGTCACCGCACGCTGGTGCCTTTATCTTAACTCTTGTCCCCTTTGACTTGGTTGGTTGGCGTCAAAGTGGTGCTTGAATGAAAATGATTGAAAAATTGCAAAAATAGATTCAATAGACTATATAGACTGGAAAGAAACAGATGTGGCAGACATGGCAGACATTTTTTCTAAGGCCTGGTGTGCTTCGTGGTGGAAGGGCATCACCTACCACCCCAGCGGGGAGCCGAAAAAGGTGAAACAAGTCCAAAGCTGCACTGAGAAACCATGTAACGTGTGCTGACAATGTCCTTCCTTGATTTCAGACTGCAGTGCATCGACATTGATGCAAGTTGGACTTCGTGAATTCATCACGAAGCAAAGAATTCCAAGGCTCGAGAAGCAGCTGAGTACTGCGCTGAGTTTATATTTTATCCCAAGAAAGACAGATGGACCTTGGATCACCTTGGACCTCGGGTTTATGCTTCGTGCTGCGAAAATTTTATTTGCAGCATTCTGACGTCAAATAGACCACATCAGACCACTATGTCTTGGTGAGGGTGATCAAGCCTGCCAGCCACGAGCTCATTGTTGTTTCCTGCTACACCCGCTTTGTCCGCCTGTCAAGATTGAATAATTTTGTGACTTGAACAAATAGACAAATGGAGTAGGCTTGGTCCTGAAAAGACACGCCGCTGGTAGCTGTTCACTGGCGTTCAGAGGTTCATGCAGTTCATGCACAATTGTGTCAGCAACTGCCAGGACAACCTGGCACATGGCCCGCGAGGCACAGAGGCCTCGGCACTTGGATCCGGACAGCAGTTGTGCTCAGCAGAGCAGATAGAGATTCAACATGATGCCCGACACAATGCACCAAATTAATCGATATTTAACCACATATGTGACATGACAATATGGCTGGAAATATCTGCATATGGAGAAACCGTTGCAAACTCCCAGGCCAAGCGCAGCCTCTACACATTCCGTTTGGATGAGAACGACGGGTGGGAACCCAGCATTCTGTTCAGCTGGGTAGTCAATATAAGCCTTGTAAGTACCCTACTGTAGGCATCAGCAGGCCTACTTTCAAGAGCTCACACACCCACATGGAAAAACAGATAACATCAGATGACATCAGATGACATCGGGCAAAATTCTTCAGCAGATTTGAGCAGTCACACTCTCGGCGACATGTGCTGACCTCAGGGAGCTGGTCTTGTACTCTGTGACCACCGACGACAGTGCAGCATTCTGAGTCACAAGAGCAATGTGCTTCTTGCAGCAAATAAACACTTACCCTGATGGCCAAGCATTCTTCAAGGTAAGGAGAAGGAGTTTTCTTTTCTCATGTCATGACATGTCATGACTAGAGGCACAACAGATCCCAAACTGAATCCGCAGAAGAGCCAAGCCCAAGCCAGGCTCACACAGGTTGGTTTCTGGTACCTGTAGTGCTGCCAGTAAATGCTACAATTGCAGATTTCTGGGTTGAGTTCCAAAGGTCTGAGGGCCTCCAAGATTCTCCGCTGGTTCCAAAGTACAAGTTTCTTGAAGACCCAGAAAGTTCGCGCACGGCCTTGCCATTCCTTGCTCAACACAAAGTGTTCAAGAAGCCTTTAAAAAAACTTTGAAGACAAAGTTTCAAAATCTTTAGCAAAACTCTGAAGGACAGCAGTTGACAGCAGTATGAGAAGGCTCCGAACTCTGCGGAGCCAGCTTCGTGAAGACAAAATATGGTTCCCGACAACAAGTTTCCGCAAAGGTTCGCCACAACCAGAATGAAAGAGTAGGGTTTTCCGGAAAAGGATTGTGAGTGCACAATATACATGTGCCATGGTTAAAATACTTGGTTTATATTCCCATAAAAGGGGATGGTCATCAATCAATCAATCAATCAATCAATCACTCAATCAATCAATCAATCAATCACTCAATCAATCAATCAATCAATCAATCAATAGTATATATATATACACACTGTTTTGGCCCTTGCACATATGCACAATCGTGGAAAGTCTCACGTTGTTGACAGCAGTTCTAGCGGCTTTGGTTCAATGAAATAACGATGAATAATAATGCGACTCGTGTTGTTTCCTTCCGTTGCACTCAAGATTTGTATTTTTTTTGCCACAAACTGTTGATGTTGTGCCAAGGTCATGAACCCAGCATTTTCCCGCTTCGATGCACAGAGGCAAGGTTTTCTGTGTAGCATGCTATTCCTTTCTCAGAGCTTAGTGGGCTTATTGATATCAGGCATGCCAGCAGCACTTGCTACATTTTGGTATCACTTGGTCACTTGGTCTAGGAATCTGCTGTACACCTGCACGGAATCTGTGGCTGAGCCGGGAGACATTGTTCACTCCGGCTTGAGTTGAATGATTTTTGAGAGATGGGATAAGATGGCACAAGCATGGACAAGTCATATGAAGCCTTCAGATCTTTCAAAAGACTCTGTTGCGAATAGGTTTTCTCATCTTGAAGCAGTTTCCAGTAGAATCAGTAGAATACAGACTGCGGTGACATCTTACAAGTGGGATTTCCAACTCGCAGTTGAGAGCCAGGTGACATACTCTGTAGATCCTCACACTGGCAAGTTGTTCAAGATTGGAAGCCTTGACCTAAGGCATGAAGCTGCATGAACATGTAGCAAGGTTCGCCTAGATAAAACATGATAAAACAAAGTCATCTCTAGTACCAACGCAACAAAACATTCTCCCTGGACAAACATTGAAAGAAACGTGACCAGAGCATTACAGTACAAACTTCTTTCTTGACGCCGCCTTCACTCAAACCTTGTGCAAAATAAGGGAATCAAAGCGCTGCGAATCTGATCTCAATCCCATGTAACTTTGTGTTTCGGGAGCTACACATAAAATCAGACACACACACAGACTTGTCTCCCACTTGTCTTTCACACTTGTCTCCCACACTTGTCTCCCACTCTGGGTGCCTTGGGCCGCATGAGTTTACACTTGTCTTCGTCTTCCACTTGTCTTCGTCTTCCACTTGTCTCCCACTCTGGGTGTCTTGGGCCGCATGAGTTTACACTTGTCTCCCACACTTGTCTCCCACACTTGTCTCCCACACTTGTCTTTCACTCTGGGTGTCTTGGGTCGCATGAGTTTACACTTGTCTCCCACTTGTCTCCCACACTTGTCTCCCACACTTGTCTCCCACACTTGTCTCCCACTCTGGGTTCCTTGGTTCGCATGTACAATATAATTGAAATTTTCTACATCTGTTTGGGGTCAACGCTGGTATAATTTTCTTTATCTATCTTATCTATCAAGGTAGGTGGCCTTGGTATATACGAGTGAAATTTATCCCGAAGGAAAAATCGTATTGGGTTAGTGTCCCTTGGATGTTTCAATGTTATTAATTCTTATCCGCCATTCGGTAGTCATGCCAAGAATGGTAGAATATAATAGTAAGGCTGTTTCCTAAGTCCACATGCAAATTTCTGCACCCTGACATCGGTAAAAAAAATCCTAAATCACAGGGTACAACCTCTGTATTCCCAAAGTCTAGGTGCAGAAATCTGCACCTTGACTTAGGCAATACCCCGCCAAGCGCCTAGGATATCGTCATTTTTTTTGCTTAAGTCAAGGTGCAGATTTCTGCACCCTGAGTTCGGCAAAATCCATAATTGGACATTGCATTTAAAGGATATATGATGTAGACGTAGAAATGATGGGAAAACTTAGTACTTGAATAAAAGAGTGATCATCAGGGATAATATTGATGGCTTTAAACTTTATACTAAAGGTATATGGGGACACCACCCTAGAAGAAACATGAGCGTGGTTGAAACAACTAGATATAGTACATACCCTATAAAGGGATGATACCCATGCCATTTTAATCCAGAAATTGGTCGGGCACCCTATAAGGGACATGGTAGTGGACCCCTGTTCATCCAAAGAATTTGATAGAAAAAATATCGTAATGGATACTGGGATGATACCAATTTAATCAACCAATTGGTTGCCTAAGAGTGAACATAATAATGCACATATGATTATCCATGAGCATGGTAGAAAACAAATAGATACATTAAATACCCAGTGGTAAGATGATACCCATTTAATCAACCAATTGGTTACCGCATGGGGGAAATAATAAGGTACCTATAACACAAATTAATTCCACCATATATATATATATAATTTTATAATATTTGGGAAGACCCAAGAATCCATTTCCAGAGACCCCAGATCAATTGCAAAGCCTTCAGAGACAATGAAAACTAATAAAGCAAAACTCAAGCTAAATCCGCAAGTTTTGTTTTGACGTCCGGAAAGGTTCCTGCAAGACTTCCTACAACGATTTCCTGCGAGGCATTCGTGCAAGGGCTCCAGCAAAGGGTTTCTGCTCTGGAATCCTACTCTGAAATTTGGAGCTTCGAAACCATGGAAACCTGCAACCTTGGATTCCTGGAGCCTTGTAACCTTTGAACCTTGGAACCTTGCCCTGGAGCTCTAGTCCCCTGGAACTTTCGACTCTTTGCAAGTCTGGAACCTGCACTGGGCACCTTCAAGCTCTACCTGAAACTTTAAATTTAGGATTCTCACAATATGGATCCCTTGGTCCATGGAATCTTGGAACCTGGCAATTTGGAGTGTTGGAAGTATGAGGCTCTAGAGTCATGGAATTGTGGAACCCCAAAGTGGGCCTCTTGTAACCTTAGAGCTTTGCTGGAAACAGCCCCGTGAAAAACTTTGAACCTTTTACCTTGTGAAACTGTAGAGTGGACGTCTTACTTTGGATCATGCTGCTCATACCGTGTTCTTTAAACAACCTGAAGCAGCTCTATTGTGTTTGCCTTTGCTTTGCATTGCGCTGGTCATTGCGTTGTTGCTGAATCAAACCAAGACCCTTACAAGTCTGGAACCTTGGTGCTTGGAACCTTGAACCCCAGAAACTTGGAAATTTAGAATCCTGGTAATCTAGAACTCTGGAACCTTGGAACTCTCGAAATCTGCAACCTTGCAATCCTGGAAACCTGCAACTGCAGAATCCTGGAACCTTGCAAAACCTTGGAACCTTGCCTGATAACATTGCGACCTTGGAGCCCTGGAACCTGTTGTTGAGTTACTGATCAGTTGGGAGTTGAATCCCTTCTTGCAAAACTCCAAAGATGATTACCGAACCTATGTAGAAGAGCGAGGTGAACCCCCAAAAATCTGAGGAATATCCAGCAAAGTAATCGCATCCAGGTGAATCACATGCGTTTCAAGAAAGGCAAGACTTAGAGAATTGCCAGAAGTGGCCACCAGCTAGGCAAGAGCATCCAGGTGCATTATCTTGGTCTCAATAAAGGCAAGACTTAGAGAATTGCTTTGGGTGACCACCAGCTATGCGACAGCATCCGGGTGCATTGCACTTGTTGAATTTGAAGGCAAGACTTAGAGAATCGCCTTAAGTGACCACCCGCTATGCAGCAGCATCCAGGTGAGTCACATTCGTTCCTAGCAAGACGTAAAGACTTGGCATGTGTGACCACCAGCTATGCAGCAGCATCCAGGTGCGTCATGCATATGCAGGTACATGGGAGAGGCCAGGTCTCATATTTCACGATATCACCCAGCTTCGTTGGTCAAGGTTGGTGATATCATGCCTTGGCCCCTTGCACTACAAGTTTTACATCTATTGACAATTACTGGGATGTTTTACACACACACACACGCGCACATTCATGCTGTTCAAAGTCCCTATAGTCACTGACGTTCTTCTAAAAGGGCACTTTGATCACTTTGATCGCTTTGGCCACTTTGATACTTATAACTTAAAACTCATAACCTTCTTATCTTTCTTCCTTGACCTTCTCGTGATCCTGCCTCGCCGGCATAGTTTTAAGGGCTGAAATTGAATCAGTTTGGATGTCCCAAGATCTTTCGAACTTGTTTGGATGTTCCATTCATGAATGTTTGAAATTCAATCAAACCCGGCAAACCCGGCAAACCCAACAAGGCAAACTTCAGTTTCTGCATTTTGTTGCCGCCGCTTGGCTCGGCAGTGAGGCCGCAGTGCCTTGGGCACCTCGACTTGCTATTTGACATTAGACAAGGCCCCCGACTCCGGGACTCCGGGATTACATTTGATCAACATTACATCCACTGTCACAGACTGTCACAGATTGTCACAGACCTTCGCACAAACTTTCAGTATTCTTGATGCCTGGGCAGGACTGCAAGAACATGCTGGCGGTGAACTACTGGAACGCAACTATTGGTGTTTTTGGCTAGGTTCTCATGAAGGGTCACTCACAAATAATCTTTGATTTGGTTCCTTGCCTTCTGAACAGCGGAATTTCTGAAGGTCTAGATGCTGAATCTGGCGCTGTTGGTGACTCCAAGAGCATGTACGACCCCAACGAGGGCAGGGCCATGAAGGCTCCTTCGGACGATTTTGAATGATGTATGAAGGTGTATGTATATATATATAAATAAAGTATATAAATGTAAATCTCTATATATATGTATGTATATCATATATATATATATACATGTATAATAGATAGATAGATAGATAGATAGATAGATAGGTAGGTAGGTAGGTAGATAGATAGATAGATAGATAGTAATGTATATTTTGTACTTGCGTGGAGCTTGCGGAATGCAAGCAATGTGTTGTCGGAATCATATTGCCAAAATGGCTTGGCCATTTTGGCTCAAGTTTGAACCATCAGTTCTTTGCGAAGCTGCTACAGATGATCTTCTCAGTCCCCTACAAACAACCTTCTCCCTATGTGGGCGTCTCAAACTGGTGGGGTGCAAGCGACGCCAGTGCTACGAGAGATGCCTACACGAGCCGCCCATGGATTGGAGGATGGATTTCTGACATGGAAGCCCCAGACAAATCAGCTGTCTGGTGGTTTCAACTCGAAATTCAACCGGACGAGTGTCCATGGGCTTTTGTGGATGGTGATTCTACCAGAAGAATCGCATCCTTGGAAATGCTTAGCACCTTGGTTTTCGCAGCCTTGCTAATCCAACGGGGCTCCTCGACTTTACTCCGCCTCCAGCTTGCACTGATCTCTGACAACCAGGGCAACGTCTTCGCCCTGCTGAACCAGAATACGAGAAAGATGCCCACCGCAGCCTTTCTCATGCAGCTGGTACATTTGCTGTATGACCGAGGAGCACAACTGGCACCGAACCATTGTAAACGTGATCACAATCAATGGGCTGACGAACTGACTCACCCGGCGCCAGTAGGTTTCACCCCGGAAAAGCGACTTTCACTTCACTCAATTTTTGCTTCCTTTAAGCTTTTGCCACAAATTTTGCAGGATTGGAAAACTCCTTCTCTTTGACGCTGGTCCTTGTGGACCTGAAGGAATGATAGCATCCTGCCCGTCTCCACCCAACCCACCCATGATCCCATGTGGGAGTCCGGTGGGTACGGCTGCTTTGATTGTTTTTGATGACACCACCACTGATTTCTCTGCCAAGTTGTGGCAGGTGGTCTAACAGACCACTGGTGACATAGGTCACAGACATAAAGCAGCAGCCGTACAGGCACCATCTTAGCATTGTGTAAAAAGGGAGATGGTGCTGCCTTGCTCTTAGTTTCTCGTTGGAACCTTAGTAGCTTGCCATTTTCGATTGTTACGGGAACACACACATATATATATATACACATGTGTATGTTTATTGAAAACAGAAAACACCAGGATTGATTTCGGAGGCCTTCCTAGGCGTGCGGCAAACTTTAACACGCTTGATGTTCCTGCAGGTCTGCCACAAACAGCACGTGAATCATTCAGAGAATGATCCCAATGCGCAGAAGGAACGCCAAAGTGATCCGCAACAAGCTCAGTGAGCAGTTTCATGTGGTATGGTTGATATGCATCACTATATTGCGGTGTATGATAAGATACTGCCCGGCCGCGCTGGGACGGGACTAGTTTTGAGCATACTGAGAGGTTTATTGGAACTGAAGCACTTACGGGAGAGGTTGTTTGATGATATTAGTGCTTCATTGAATGCATCACTGCAGTGTTGCCATCCAGAAAACTTCTTCGGACTAGTTTTTTTTCCTGCCAGCCAGGATGCAAAGCCAGGACTAGTTTGAGCAAATCCCATGCAATGGGTACATGAGTGACTAGTGAATGATTGGCTAAAAATGAAAGAACCAGTGTGTGAATGACTGAATTGACTGGCTGGCTGCGTCTGTGTCTGTGTCTCTGGCTCGCCTGTCTCTGTCTGCGTCTGTGTCCGTGTTTCTGTCTCTGTCTGCCCACGCATGTATGCATTCATGTATGAGTATGTGCGTACGCGTATGTATGTGTATGTACGTACGCGTATGTATATGTATTCTATGTCTGTGTGTTCCCACCAGCGATCCTCTTGCATTTCAACCCCTAGAGCGGGGAGTGGTGGCAGGAAAATGCGTGCCCTGGAGCCGGACCCCTGGAACCGGGAACCTTGCTGGAACCTTGCTGGAATCTTGCTGGAATCTTGCGGGAACCTTCCTGAATCCTTTGCTGGAACTTCTTGCTAGCTGGAGCCCTGTTCAAACCTTGCCAGAACATTTCTGGAACCTTTTGCTGCAAATTCGTGATGGAACCCCTAGGAACCTTGCTGGCATTCTGTTGGAACCCTTGCAGGTGTAGTTTTTTTCCCCTGAAAGTTCCCACGAAGGGTTTTCCCAAAGAACTGCTGACAAATCAACTTTAGGATAGCCGACTTTTACTTCATCTTCATCGTCTTCATCGTCTTCATCATCTTCATCACCGTCGTCATCATCATCGTCATCATCATCATTATCATCACCATCATCATTGTTATCACCGTCATCATCAGCAGCCATCGCTATCATCATCACCATCACCATCACCATCACCATCATCATCATCATCATCAACTTCAGCTTCAGCTTCAACTTCAACTTCATCTTCTTCATCACCTACGTCACCCATTTTATTTTAACATAACCTTCTACATTACCGATAAGTACATCATCCAGAACCTACATAGCCTTTAATACATCATCTACAAATTATTCTGCATCATCTACATCACCTACGTCACCCACATCATCTACGATTTTTCTTGTGTCATCTACATGATCTACATTATCTACATGACCTACATCATTTACAGAGGTGTTCACATGTAAGTTGTCAAGTTCTATGAAAAAACATCTACAACGTCACTGTCGAAGGAGTTGGCTTGTAGGCTATAGGTGATCAACTTCTATGGAGCCCGCAAAAACTTCCTACAAGACTCCTACACAACATCGACAATGTCGACCTTTCTATCTTTCTCTCTCATGGCAGCAGGGGCAATGCATCAATGCGCACGAAATTCCGCACACATAAAGGGAATTGTCAGTCGGGGTCAGTGACCCTTTGCGGAGATGGTTCGCGTCGGGCCCAAACGTGAAATCTGACTTTGGTTTGGGCGCGCACAACCCCCTGTTGGAAACCCAAGCGCGTGGCCAGAATGTAAATTTTGATTTGACCTTGGCAACTCTCTATGGAGATCTTGCCGACGGATGTCAAAACGTGTGGTGAAATGCGAATTTTGTTCGGCACGGCGCACCCTTTTGCACGAAATGAGGGTCAAAGGCCCAGAACTGAGAAAAATGCGGTTGTAAAACGCGCGGTGAAACCTTCTCGCAAGAAATGACCTTTGAACGTCAAGATCGCAGAAAAATTGCGATAAGGGTCGAACTCCGATAAGGGTCGAGCTCGAAATTTTGGAGCGTGTAAAAACTATATACTTCGTCCAAGTGCGTGTAAAATGTGCTCTGTGTATTTTTTTTTAAAGTGCTCTGTGCAACAGCCTCTCTGTGTAAAAGCGTGTTTGTGAAAAACATCTGCATGTAATCACTGTGTAAAAGCATCTGCGTGCAAAACCTTTTTATGTATAGCTTTTGTGTGCAAATACGCGTGTGTAAAGACTTTTCTGTGTAAAATGTCCTCTGTGTAAAGATTTGCCAACTTCTCTGTGTAAAAACTTCTGTGTGTAAACAAAAATTCCCTGTGTGAGGACTTGTCTGTGTACAAGCTCCTGTGTGTAAAGATTTCTCTTTGCAAAAACTTCTATGTGTAAACGTGTCTGTGTGTAAGCGTGTCTGCGTGTAAAAACTGACGTGTAAAGGGGCCTCTGTGTCCAAAAAATGATTGTGTGAAAGCTTCTGTGTATAAACGCATCTGTGTGTAAAAGCTTCGGTGCGTAAGAACTGCTCTGTGTAAAGGATTCTCTGTTCAAAAATTTTTGTGTCTAAAATCTAGTCTAAAAACGTCTCTGTAAAGGCGTTTGTATATGTGTGTGAAAACTGCTGTGTTGAAGAGCTGCTCTGTGCAAGCGCTTTTCTGTGTGAAAGCTTCTCTCTGTAAAGTGTCATGTAAAAACTCCTCTGTATAAAGGCTTGTCAGTGTAAAAGCCTCTGTGTGCAAAAACGCCCTGTAGAAGCGTCTGTGTGTAAAAGCTCCTCTGTGTAAAGGCTTGTCAGTGTAAACAAGATGCAGCCCGCGAACCCGAATGCTCACACGTATGTGAATGGTACAGATGGTGGGCTGTCTAGTGTAAAGCATGACGTGTAAAGAGCAAAAGCGTGGAGTGTAAAGTGTAAAGTGTGGAGTGGAAAGTGTTAAGTGTAGAGTGTGGAGTGTCAAGTGTAAAGTGTAGAGTGTGAAGTGTAAAGTGTGGAGTATAAAGTGTAGGGTGTAGAGTTTGAACTGCGAAGTGTAAAGTGTAAAGTGCGGAGTGTGAAGCGTAAAGTGTAAAGTATGAAGTGTCAAGTGTAAGTGTGAGGTGTAAAGTGCAAAGTTTGGAGTGCAAAGCGTAGGGTGTAAAGTTTGAACTGCGAAGCGTAAAGTGTAAAGTGTAAAGCGTTAAGTGTAAAAGTGTATATTGTGGAGTGTAAAGTGTAAAGCGTTAAGTGTAAAGTGTATATTGTGGAGTGTAAAGTGTGCAGTGTAGAGCGTTAAGTGTGAAGTGTAAAGTGTAAAGTGGAAGTGTAAGTGTACAGTGTCAACACTTACAAGTGTAAAATGTAGAGTGTGGAGTGCAAAGTGTGAAGTGTAAAGTTGGAAGTGTAGAGTGTAGAGTGTAAAGTGTAGAGTGGGGAGTGGGAAGTGTAAAGTGTGAAGTGTAGAGTGTAAAGTGCACAGTGTGGAGTGTAAAGTGTAGAGTGTCCCAAATATCGCGCCTGCCGCGCAAGACCACATTCCAAAACAACGGATCTGCACCAAAACTGCCCCTGCCACGCAAAATGACATTCTCACGATGTCCTAGGCCTGCCAGACAATTTGCGCGTTGTCACCACTTGACGCAGCCCTGACACTGCGATTAGCAAGAACACGCGACACCACATGTCTAAAGCGCCGCGCCTGCCACACAAGAAGAATATGGAGGTCTCCAAAGTGCTGCGCCTGAAAGCGACGCCAAAGTATCGCGCCTGTCACACAGACAGACTTTTGACCCGTTCTAAAAATGTCACGAAGTGTCACCCCTGCCACGCAAAATGGCATTATCACCTCTTCTGAAACCTTCAAAAATGAGAGGCTTTGCAGCTTTCCCCATAGGCTCGGCGATGCGACAACAATCTAGACGAGACATGCTGGAAGCTCAAAAGACATTTTTTACGAGACTTCCTCAAGTTTTCACACTTTGTAGCTACAAAATCGACGTTTTCCTACGCGTTTCCTAATGAACCCCAAAATCTGCTACCTCAAAATCGATGTTTCGTGCGAGGCTCCCGCTTTCATCACGTGGCACAAAATGCCACGACTGCCGCGCAATTTGCACGTTGTCACCACTTGACGCAGCCCTGACAATGCGATTCGCAAAAAGCACGCAACACACACGTCTTAAGTGCTGCGCGTGCTGATGATAGAGGTCTCCAAAGTGCTGCGCCGCCATGAAAAAGTGAAGTTATTTTTTGAAAACGATGCAAAAGTATTGCGGTTGTCACACAGAACAACTCTTGACGCGTTATGAAAAACGTGGAATTTCAGGTTACGCAACGTATGAAACGAGGTTACGCAACGTATGAAATCTCCAAAAGTGACTGCTTTTGCAGCACTCATCATAGGCACGGCAATAAGGACTTCATCTGAACGGCAGGGGGCGGCGGCGGACGGTTGCGAACGGTTGCGAACGGTTGCGAACGGTTGCGAACGGTTGCGAACGGTTGCGAATGGTTGGGAAAGTCGGTGCGACGTCTAGAACACAACCCCCAAACCTCAGAGTGAAACGGGAACCCTTGCTATGCGTTCGGGAAAAAACCTCTGTGTGCAAAAAGACGTCCTGTAAGAGCGTCTGTGTGTAAAAATTGCTCTGAAAAGGCTTGTCACAAAGAAAAACAAGCTCTGTGTGCAAAAAAATACTGTAAAAACATGTCTGTGTGTAAAAGCTGCTTTGTGTAAAAGCATATGCGTGTAAAATTGCTCTGTGCAACGGCTTCTTCGTGCAAAAACTTCCGTGCGGAAAGGCGTCTGTGTAACAGCATAGATGATAAACCAGCATATCTAACCCAGCTAGATTCCATTGACATTGTTAATCTGATTGTCACCTGGAGCAAAGCTTCCTGTGGGAAGAAAAACTGTAGCAAACTGTGGATGTATGATATTTCAGATATCATTTCATCTTCATCAATCATCATTCATCATCATCTTCATCATCATTCATCATTCATCACAATATCTTCTTTTGCATTATCTTCTTCTCGCCTCCCTCCTTCGCCCAGTGTTTTTCAATTGTTTCTTGCTTTGGTTAATGTGCCTGCCAAGTTTTGATCTTGGAAATCATCTGGATTGCTTTTGCTGGAACCGTCTTGCAACCTTGCCGGAGCCTAGATGAAGACAACTCAATGATTTTCTTTGGATCTCGTTTTTCCCAGCAGCAGTGGCTGCTAGGTCTCGGAGTGGTGCGCTGGTTTTTGTTGAGTCCAAAAACCGGAACCGAACGGAAACCTCATCCCCTGCAACCTTGGAGCTTTGAATTTGGAAAAACTTGAAAACCTGGCGCCCTGGAACCCTCGAAACTTGGACCACTGAAGCCTTGAAAATTTGAAAGCCTGTAATCCCGGCCCGAACCCCTTAAACCATTGGAAACCTTGATCCCTGGGATCCTGGAACCATGGAAGCGCGGAACCTTGCAACCTTGGAACCCTGCAACTTTGGAACCTTCGAACTTCTTGGAACTCTGAAATCTTGGAACCCTCGGCCCTTGCCTTGGTGCTTGGTGGCTTGGAACCTTGAACCTTGGAAACCTTGCGCGCTGGGAACCTTCAAGCTTGGGAACCCTTGAAATTTTGTGATTTTTGGGTGTTTCATCGTATGGATCCTTTCTTCATGGACTCTTGGAAGCAGGAAACCTAGAGCACCCAAATATCAAACACGAGTTTGAGATTATTGGGAAGTTAGGAAAAAATGTAGGGGGAGTAGATCGAGATCAGACTAGACTAGACTAGACTAGTCTAGAACCTCTTGCAACCTGTGCTGCCCTGGCTGCAAGCCGACAACCTTGAAAACTTTAAACTTCGGAATTTTGTGAAGTTGTGATTTGCTTCTGTCAGTTGAAACATGCAGGTCTATTGTGTTTGGCGGTTGCTTGGCATGGCTCTGGTCATTTCGCTGTTGATGAATCAATCCGGGATGCTTGCAAGTCTGGAACCTTGGTACTTGGAACCATGGTCCTTGGAATTTTGAAGCCTGGAACCATGGAATCTTGGAAACCTGGAACCCTAGAAACTTGCAACCTTGGAGCCCTGGAACTTTCTGTTGGTTGCAAAGCCGGTTTAACATGTATGTGTGGATATATGTGGATGTATGTGTAAGTGCAATGTATCTGTATGTTCTTGTATGTATGTTTCTATGTCTGCATGTCTGTCTGTCTGCATGCATGTTCCGTATAGAGGCACACAAAGACAGTGGATCCGCTTTGCGTGCTGCGCACAACCAATGGTCAGAGCATATGCAGTCTTGAGCTATAGATCTTGCTTTGGTTTCTCACACTTTCTGCTTGTCACCATGATCCAATGAAGTTTTTGTTGGTGAGAGAAAACTATCCAGTGGCATTTGCCCAGAACTTGGTGGTTCATTTTTATTTGTGTATTAATATTGCACGATGTGGTGGACCATTGAATTTGCCCCCCTGCGCCATTTTCTACAAGTTTCTTCGGAGGCATTCTCATGCAGTCATTTTGGACCCGTCGCAGACCAAGCCACTGCCGTTGGAGCACGCGGTCAACTGAAGAGCTTCTGACGAGTTTCTGCTAGGGGAAAAATGTCCATGCTGCCGTTACAGCTACTTTCAGGTTCTTCGGAAAGATAGCTTACGTTCCTGACTTGGGTGGTGCTCTCAGCTTTGCAAGGCAGTTTTGAACAGGCATGGCAGAATCATTTGCTGTGCCCAGGAATGGATTTAATCCGGCAGTTCAGGTTGGCCTGCAACGGAATAGAATGTTTCAGCTTTTTTATCGGATGATAATGATAGTCGTGTTTCTGTGCACACATGTCTGGTCCTAGGTGGCAGCGCGTAAATGCTTAATGTAACGTAGATAGGACATCAATATTTTCAAAGTGAAACATTCTCAAAATCTTGAGCACGCAATCTGGGACAGATGCAAGTCCGAAAATAGGTTGATTCATAGTTCCCTTTACTTTTTGATCTGAATTGTATGTGCCTAACAACCACTAGCACAACAGCATTGGAGGTCAACTAATGCCGGCCTTGGTTGCGCAATTAGCAATACGTGTTTGACACAAGCATTTTTGGTCGCACACTTCACTTTGTTTCAAACCAGTACATATTGAAGTTATATATGTGCTTCTCGTACCAGTATATGTGGGGGATAAAGGGGGGTGACGCCGTAAGTTTTCGGCTCACAGCGGGGGTCGAACTGCTGGGCTAGACCCTGTTGGGGTTAGCCCAGTGGTTTGGCTCCTGTGGAGCTGAGAAGACGGGCCCCTCAGACCCTGAGCGGGTTGAGGTGGCTTACATAAGGAGAGATTGAAAGGATTAGACCCAAAGGCTCCAATAAGGGCCCTACAAGCTCCCCCCGCCAGACACAGGGCCCTCTCCTGGTGCAAGCTGCGGCCGCACCTTCCCTGGCGCCTTGTGGGTGTTGGGGGGAGGCTGTGCCTGTCCCATCCACAAGCCATCACCTTGAGGGAGATGGAGCAGCTGTTGCGCACTCAGTGAGCGCAACTGGTGCATAGCCTCGGATCTAGGGCAAAGAGCCCAGGAGGTGGCCCGTGACGTCTTTGAGGCAGGAGAGCTCATGCTACGATCGATGATTATGGAAACAAGCAGGGGCGAGGAGTTCTGAAGCTGCTCAGTTAAATTGGGAGGGCTCCTCAGACTTGTTCACTGCGGAGCATGGCCTAGCGTCAGACCCCTTACTATGACCGGTACGTCCAGCATGAGCTGAGCAAGGGAGCCTTGTACCACGTGTGCCCAGGCAGTGCACAGAGCTGCAGAAGGCGTCTGGCGTGGGTGGATCTGGATGCTGCCCTCACGAGACCCGGGCCTCCAGATGGAGGGGTGGTCGCTGAGGCTGAAGGGAGCCGCGCAGGAGGTCCCGAAGCGGCAAAAAGAGGGATCTAGAGGACAAGATGGCGGAGCAAGAGTGGCAAAAGGCGGCGGACAAAAGCCGGGGAGAAGCTGAGAAAGAAAAGAAAAATAAGAAGGAGAAGAGAGCTGACCGAGGACGGAGGAAGGACAGCTCTTCTTCAGAGAGTTCTTCCAGAGCATCCAGTGCTTCCAGCTCAGGGTCACTTTTTCGGTCGTCCTCAGTCCGGGGGCCAGTCAGAGACCGGGCTAGAAAAAGGAGCCTGGGAAAATCAGAAAGTGCTGGCCTACTTCAACCGCTGACCGCCACGCCGCCCTCGAAGATAGGGGTGCGAGCGCACCGGGAGTTGGTCACTCTCGCAACCGCCCTGGACGAGCTGCTGTCCAGCCGGATTCCCCATACCCTGGACATCCTCATGCAGAGGTTCAAAGCTCTCGAAGCCGCGATCCAAGGCAAGGCATTACGAGCTCATCCCGGTGGCAGGGGCGATGTTGTTCCGAGAAGAGGAACGGGAGCTCGCCACAAAAGCCGAAGTCCGGCAGATGAAGCTGAAAGAGGCCATCACCAAGAGCGGGAGGGCCAACAAATAGGAAATTGGCAGCGGGTCAGACCTGAGGACAGGGAGACCTGTGAGCCAAAGCAACAGTCCCGAGAGATCGGAGAACGATCGGTCCGAACTGTCCCAGCCAAAGACGGCAGACATGAAGAACCCTCGGGTGAAGCTCGTCGAACCGCGGCTGTTTTGGCTGCCGGTCGAACCGGCGGCTGAGGAGGATGTGGAGGTGATTCAACACCGTGACTACCGGCAGCTGGTAGATAGAGCCAAATGTGGAGCCGCTGGCCCCTGCAGGATGGGTGCGAGTGGAGGGTTAAGAGATGAGAAGGCCCGGTTTTCGACATTCGCCCGGAGCATCCCACGTGGGCGTCCGCCACCAGACCCAGATGGGTTGAGTGAAGCAGGACTGGGAGCACGAGCCAGGTGGGAGACTGACCTGTTTAGGTACCCTCCTTACACGTAGAAAGACGAGTACATGGTCACCTCAGGCCCTTGGTCGCCGAAGAGCGCGAGATCCTCATGGGGTACCAGCCGGGCCACACAGCCAGGCTGCTGAAGAAGCCGCCCTCGAGCGAGGCGGAGCGAAGGGCCGTTGAGGACCTCCAGTGCTCGGCCATTGGAAACTCCTTCCACACCAACTGTGTGGCTTGCTTGCTGGACCATGCGCTGGCCACCATGGGGCTGAAGGCCCGAAAGGGCGCTGAGGAGATTGTCCGGTTTTCCATCTCAAAGCCCAGCCACTGAGCTTCCCTTCGTGGAGGGGACTGAGCTGAGCCAGTTGAGTCGCGAAGACGACACCATCAGCATTGGCGGTGCCTTGAAGACAGATGACCTGGAGAGAAAAGACCGCAGCACAAAGCTGCTTGCGGATGAATTGCATGATGAGAAGAAATTGAGTAATCTGTTGGTATCTGCCTATGTGAGGCGCCAGGAATTGCGCTGGTCCGATGTACGGCTTGACATCAGTGCCTTATACAGGCCGGACTCCTTCCCCAGAGGATCAGTGGAGCCTCATCGGTGGATTTGGCACCGCTCGCACTCATGTCCTTTTCAAGGTGGCGACCACGTCAATGTGCTGGAGCTCCCTGCGCTTGTGCACACATTTGAACGGAGACTCCGAAACCACACAAGCTTTTGGGAGTTGTCGCGCCCTGCACTTCACGGACTCTCAAGTGGCATTAGCAGTTGCCACGTAGCGCCGCTCCAGTTCCAAGTCGCTGAACCGCCTCCTGCGAAAGTTTGCTGCTCTACAAGTGGCTGGCGGCGTATGGCCATTGCTGGCCTATGTCGAAAGCGTGAAGAACCCGGCCGACGGGCCTAGCAGAGAATATGAGTCCTAAAAGGGCACCGATAGCAGATAGCAGCAGGACTTTCGAAGGAGCAAAGGAAGCGACAGAGGGAACAAATTGGTAGGTTGCGGCGCCAAGTGATTAGCAAGGACAGAGGACAGGTATCAACAGAGTTTCACTGAATTCAGAGAATTTCACCAACTGAGCCCAGCTTTTTCATTGCCCCCGCTGCCGGTTTTGATGATATGGTGGCATGTATGTGGAACACTTGTGGGAAGAAGGTGCCCCGAAATCATCTGCAAACTACGTGGTGGCAGCGATCCAGTTTTACCGGCCAGAGAGTAAACACCACCTGGCCTGGTTGTGGAAGCTGGTAAAAGTTTGGAACCAGCTGGAAGTTCCTCAGCGTGCCACCCCCATGACTCCAGAGCTCTTGATGGCTTTCGCAGGGCAGGCATTTTGTTGGCAGCAGTTTGAACTCGGGTGGCTCCTCGTCATCACGTTCACTCTGTTTTTGCAGACAGGTGAGCTGCTGCAAATTAAAGCCCAGGATATGGTTTTTGGGGGCACGTCGGGAGTGTTATATTTATTTCCATCAAAAGGAGGAAAAAGGCTTTTTCTGCCGCTTGAGCGAGTGAAAATGGCGGAACAGATCACTGTCCAAGCCTTTCGGGTCTTGCTCCGACACAAGCAGCCAGGTGACCCACTCTGGTCTGCTACTCGGCAGCAGTTTATGTCACTCTGGCATTCCCTAGTAGATGCCCTCAAGCTCCAGAACTGCAATTTCTTTCCTTACAGCTTGAGAAGGGGGGGGTGCCTCAAGTGCCTACAGCTGGATCCAATTTGGATCAGCTTGTTACCAAGGAACACTGGCAACATGTGTCCACGGCCCAGGTCTATCTCGATACGGGGCTTCAGGCACTGCTGGCTTTGACTCTCCCTCCTGCTGCCCGCCCCAAGATCCAAAGAGCCACAACTCACTTTCGCACTGTGAGCCAGTCAGGGACGCATGGAAGGGAGGGTCCCTAGGTAGGGGCACCATTACACTAAGTGTGATGTTTGGCTCCTACGTTTCTCATGCATACCCACGCCCAGGCCCCCAGGTAGGGGCACCACTGCACTAAGTGTGATGGTTGGCTCGGAAGGCACGGCATGCAGCTTGTGCGAAAAAGCGCTTGCCGTTGCCTGGTCGAACTAGGAACCCCCTTTAGGACTGTAACACACACACATATATACATATATATACATTCGGATGTGCCCCCCCTTGTAACAGCCAAATAATTGGTTTCCACATATCAGAGAAGCAAAATGAAGCACCAGGAAAATAGCCCAGAATGACATTAACTTTTCGGAGCCTGGGTAAGAAGTTTCATCATTCCATTTTGTGTTTTCTACTCCTTTATGTCTTGGTCCTCTTTTCCTTGACATTTGTTTTTTAAGGTGGCTTGGAGTTGGTGTCCAGCTCATCTTTCTTTCCATGGTTCTCCCTCTAAAAATCCTATCACATGTCATTCTCTGAGGTGCTGTCCTGTCTCCAATTCTGTCTCATTGGTCTCCCCCCCAAAGTTTCCAGACTGGGATCCCCAATCTTGCTTTGACATCCCATAGCATAGCATAACTATTACAACAAGCAATGATTAATTCTTGTTTGATACAGTATTGGCAGCATCGGCAAATGGAATTTGAAACATGATATCAGTGATATGATATTAGTACGATTCACATTTTTGCAAATTTTGAGAATTGACACAGTAAATCACATGCCTCATGACTAATAATATTAATACGAAAGTTTGATCGTTTGAATTCAACAATGATTCGGGCCATGGGCCGCATGGATATGATTCTATGATATGTTGCGGTCGGTCACACGGTATGGTCGGCCATGCAAAATCCAAAACGCTAAATCCTAAACCTTAAACCCTAAACTCATGCCGGTAAATCGGGCATAGTTTAATGTTGACTGATGCAACAATGCAGAGTAAAAATCCCCCCAAAAAAAGCACAAGGAGAGGCCACAAACGGAGCACCAGCAGAGGCACCAGAAAGCACCAAACGGAGCACCAGGAGAGGTGCCGAAAAACACCTTTGGGAGACAGCCTGTCCACGGCAAAGTTGACCAATTTCGGCTGTCCTTGCCGCCGTGTGCGCTTTGCAAAAAATCCACAATCAGAGACCACAAAAGGAGCACCAGGGAGACCAGGGGTTTTGCCAAAACGGAGCACCAGCAAGTCCAATCAGAGAGCACAAATGAAGCACCAGAAAGTACAACCAGAGACCACAAAAAGGAGCACCAGAGAGACCAGAGGTTTTGCCTGCTGGATCTCCGCCCAACAGTAGCCAGGTAAGTTTGAAAAGATAGCCAAAAACATCGAATCATTGACCACAAAATAACACTACCATTACATGTGTTGATGCACATTCAACTACATGACATGACATTACATAACCTTGCATGGCAAGACACAACAGCACATGACATGACAATGCATTTCCTTAGGTTTCAATCCATGACACGACATGACAGTACTTGATTTCACATCCTTATTTATGGCAGCTGCGCGCATGGGAAGGGGAAGGGGACAGAGGAAAAAAAAAGCAGAGTTGTGCACATTCATGCTGCCAGAGGTCACTAACACCTATCCAAGCCCATTCTCTCCCATCTACATGCAGGGCTGAGTCTTGCCTGCTCTGTTGCCAGCCTGAGCCATCCCTCATTTTGAATACGTCTCTGCATCTACTCCAAAATTGCAATTTTACGTCAATTTTTGACGTCCAACGTCCCATTTCGTGCGAAAGGATTACTCAAAATCACAATTTTTTTTACCAATTTTTGCAAAACGGAGCACCAGCAAGGCCAATCAGAGAGCACAAATGAATGAAGCACCAGAAAGTACAATCAGAGACCGCAAAAGGAGCACCAGCAAATCCAACCAGAGATGCATCAAGATACCTTATTCCAATCCTTACTTACCGACCACAACCGGAGACGACAAACCGACCACCAGGAAACCCAATCAGAGACCACAATCAGAGAGCACAAATGAAGCACCAGAAAGTACAATCAGAGACCACAAAAGGAGCACCAGAGAGACCAGAGGTTTTGCCAAAACGGAGCACCAGCAAGTCCAATCAGAGAGCACAAATGAAGCACCAGAAAGTACAATCAGAGACCTTCAAAGGAGCTCCACAGGGATCAGAGGTTTTCGCAAAACGGAGCACCAGCAAGTCCAATCAGAGAGCACAAACGCAGCACCAGAAGGTACAATCAGAGACCAGAAAAGGAGCACCAGAGAGACCAGAGGTTTTGCCAAAACGGAGCACCAGCAAGCCCAATCAGAGAGCACAAATGAAGCACCAGAAAGTACAACTTGAGACCACAAAAGGAGCAGCAGAAAATCAGCAAAAATATGTGTTTTGCCTGGGGATTTCGATTTTCATTTTTTTAAATTGGCCAGATCACCCAGCCAGCCAGGGGAGGCGCCAGCCAGCTAGAGCCGTTTGTCTGCCGAAGTTTGCTGCAGCCTTCCCTGCCAGCCTTTGTTTTGGATTTACTAAAAGGAGCCGGATCATTTCGATTCGGATATTAAGTTTTGATTTTGGTTCTTCAGAATTGACTACCAATATGAGATCTGCTAAAATAATCGTTATGTAAAAACCAATGATTATAACAACAGTTTTTTCAACAAAATATAAGGTATATATTGATATATATATATTTTCTCATTTGTTTTTGATATATTACTATTTAATAAAAAGGCCATGCATCAAATAACATCCGTATTTCGTATTCGTAGGGGCATGATGATTCAAAAACTGTTTCTTAGTCTTGGAACAATAAAGTTCGACAAATTCATGTATCAAACAGCAGGTGCGGTCTTTTTTTTGTGCAGCTAATTTTCAACTGCAATTGGCAATTGCTTGCAAAACTTTGATTTGGAGTCACTAGGCAGGAAGTGAAAACTGTTGGAACAAAAAACAGTGACTTATTAATTTAAGGTTGCAGTTATGATTCATGTGTCTCTTCTACTGTATTTTCATCAAACACACAATAGTAAGAAAGTAAAAACACATGAAGCAAAACATCCAGACAGTAGCAGCTTTCATGCCATCCAGCCCGCTTTGAAGTGGTTGGATGAAGCATCCAAATAGGGATGGTGCGCTGCAGCTTCCGCAGGGGCAGTGGGAAAAAACAAAAATCTGACTTGAAACATGGCTATATGTTGGGACTTCTCATTAGAGATAAACCTAATTTGGAACATTTTTGCGGTGCTCCGTTTGTGCTGTCCAGTTGTGGTCACTGTTACAGCCCCGGGGCCTATCCGAATATATACATATTAAGAAACTATGCTGTTCACAAGAGGGCATCTGTTTTGTTATGTAAACGTTCTAGGCAGTCAAAGCAAAGCATCACTTTCTAGTTCTCACATCCTTTAAGTGCCTGAAGCAGGTTCAATCCACAGTCTGGTGTTTTGGAAGCTGCAGGGACTTGCAGGTGTGGCAGGGGCCTGCAGGTGTGGGAAGAGGGCTTCTGATTGTTGAGTGGGCTCGTTTCTAGGGTTTCAGATAGCATACTTTACATACCTGCATGCACATGTATATAGTAGACATTTATTTATATATGTATATTATTATTATTACTATTATTATTACTATTATTATTATTATTATATATATATGTATATATGTATCGCAGATATGTGCGCATGTATGGAGAAAACTTATACTTATAATATATACGTTCCCGCAAGAGGGAGAACAACAAACATGACAATAATGTCAACAGTATTAGTGTTAATAGTGCTAACAGCAATAAGAAACATGATAGCAGTGGTAACAATGGCAATCATGGTAATAATGACGGTAATGGTAATAGTGGAAGAACGATCATATTTACAGTACTGACAATAGTGACAATAATGACACTCATGATCATAAGGATAATATTGATAGTAATCTCAATAGTGACAATAAAGATAATCTTAATATATAGTGATGTTAATATTGACAGTCAAGATCACGATGATAAGAATGACAACGTTAATGAAAATAGTTCGGCTAACGACACAGGTGATCATTATGATAGAAAAATGATCATGACAACAGTGATAATAAGGATGAAACTGATAATAGTGATAACCAGAGGAAGTTTAGAAGTCAAACTTCCGACACATGGACAGATGAAAAGCAGAGATGGGAAGAGTCAGAGAAGAGAAGGGAAGAGAAGAAGAAGACCAAAAAAGAGAAAGTCTCAGAAAAAAGATCCAGCTGCGCGAAAAGGTAGGAAAGTCCGGAAACAATGATTTGTGGCTCCGGGGGGTCGAAAAGTAGGCTCGCTAAAGCGGCGGGTGCGGAGCCATGTGGCCAGATGAGAGATGAAGAATTGCACGCCGTTGTGGCGCGAAGCACATGTCGAAGTCAAAATGTACAAAGCACACCAATGTCGGACCACTTTTGGAAGTTGAGATGTGGAAAAAGTGCACGCCGTTGTGGTGCGAAGCGCAGTTGGAATTCAAAACGTACAAGACACACCAACATCGGACCACTTTTGCAAATTGAGATGTGGAAAAAGTACACGCCGTTGTGGCGCGAAGCACAGTTGGAAGTCTGTACAAGACACACAAGTCTCGGACCACTTTTGGAAGTTGAGATGTCGAAAAATTGCACGCTGTTGTGGCGCGAAGCACATTTGGAAGTCAACATGTCAAAACACCTGGGGTTCGGACACTTTTGGACGTTCAGATGTCGTTTCGCGTGGCAGGCGCAAGGGATTGTGCACCTTGTCAAAAGTGAGCACAACGTGAGGGTTTTGTAGCATTTCCAAAAACGATGGCAGGCGTGGGGCATTTGAAGAGGATCTGGAAAGATGCGTTTCGCGTGGCAGGCGCAGTACAAGAGACATGATCATCAGAGATATTAGGAGGTCAGGGCGCTGATTTCTTGAGAAGGGTCGCATTTTGGAGCATCAGATCTTCAGTTTTGGGAAGATGATTTTGCGTGACAGGTGCAGCACTTCGTATGACCTGGCATCCGTGCATCATTTTTTTCGTGGCAGGCCCAGTACTTTAGACAGGCGGAGTGGAAAAATCGCAAAATGCATTGGTACGAGGCCGTCAGCTCTGCACTCAACTTTACATTTTTGAAAGAAGTCTCGCAGAATTGCTTCGTTTTTGAATGATTTTGATGTTGTCAACTTCGAAACTTGAGGAAGTCTCGCAGATTTGCTTCGTTTTTGACGTTGTCGTCAAGTTCAAAATTTGAGGAAGTCTCGCAGATTTTCTTCGTTTTTGGCGTTGTCAAGTTCAAAATTTGAGGAAGTCTCGCAGAATTGCTGCGCTTCTGATGTTGTCAAGTTCAAAAATATTGGAAGTCTCGCAGAGTAGCTTCTTTTTCAAACTTGCAGATAGACAGACAGATAGATAGGTCGATAGATAGGTAGGTAGGTAGATAGGTAGACAGGTAGATAGGTAATTAGGTAGCTAGGTAGATAGGTAGATAGGTAGATAGGTTAGTTAGCTTAGTTTAGTTTAGTTTAGTTTAGTTAGTTAGTAAGTTAGTAAGTTAGTAAGTTAGTAAGTTAGTAAGTTAGTAAGTAAGTAAGTAAGTTAGTTAGTTAGTGAGGTAGTTAGTTAGGTAGATAGATACATAGATAGACTAGATAGATTAGCTAGGTAGATTAGATAGATGAGATAGATTAGATAGATTAGATAGATTAGATCGATGAGATAGATGAGATAGATTAGATAGATTAGATAGATTAGATAGATTAGGTAGATTAGAAAGATTAGATAGATAGATAGATGGATAGATGGATAGGTGGACAGATGGATAGATGGATAGATGGATAGATAGATAGATAGATAGAAAGAAAGATAGAAAAAACATAGAAAAAAGATAGATAGATAGATGGATAGATAGATAGATACATAGCTAGACTAGATCACTACATTCCACTTCACTACACTTCACTTCACTACACTACACTGCACTACACTACACTACACCACACTACACCACACCACGCCACACCACAGTACACTACACTACACTTCACTACATTCCACTTCACTTCACTTCACTTCACTACAGTTCACTTCACTTCACTACACTGCACTACACTACACTACACTACAC